CCCAACCTTAAACCTTCTTAAGGTTAGCTGGACAGTTTCTGGCTTAAAGCTGGGTCGGACAGTCTTTAGCTTTAAAGCTGCAGAGCTGGCAGTCTTGAGCTCAAGGCTCCCAGCTTCAGATTTTGGCTTAAGGGCACTTTGGGGCCTTAAGCCGCGTTTTTTTGGTTGAAGCTCCAGGCTGGGCAGTTTTTAACTTGAAGTTCCTGTTGGTGTTGCTTCTTTTCATCCTTAACCTGAAAGGGCAAAGGGTTTTGAAAGTATTGTGGTATGCTGGCTGAATTTTGAAAGTGTCTGCTGGTGTTGCGGTTTGTCATCTTCAACCTGAAAGAGCGAAGCCCTCGAGATAAAAAGCGTGCTGTATCATCTTTTGCAGTTGGGGAAAAACCAGTTTTGCGGCATGTTGGCTGAATGTTGAAAAGGCAATACCCGCTAGTGTTGCTTCTTGTCGTCCTAGACCTGAAGGAAAAAACCTTTAAGGATCCCAAACAACATGCTGTATTCAAGTTTTCAGTTGGGGCAGAGCGGCTTTAACAGTATTATGGTATGCTGGCAGAAGTTTGCAACAGCAACGTCTGCTGGTGTTGCTTCTTGTCATCCAAAACCTGAAAGAACAAAGCCTTCGAGAAAAAGAAAAGTGCTTTATCAATTTTTGCAGTTGGGGCAGAGGGGTTTTGACAGTAGAAAAATATTTTCGGCATGTTCCCGGCTTGGGTATTTTCCAACAGCAGCCTGGTTCCAGCCCCGGGCCGGGCCTTTTTCGTGCACGAAATAAGAATGTAGAGCTTCTTGCTAACCGCTTGAGTGACGAGCATCTCTCTACATCTCGTGGTCCAAAGCACCAATCCATGTTCTCTCATCTTGTCGAGATTCACTCCAACCTTCGTGCTTCTTTAACACTGCTTGGGTTGAACATGTCGGGGGTCTTGATCATCTTGTGCAACTCAACTTCCCCTTCTCTCTGCTTGTTCTTGTTCTCGTGCTTCTTGATGTTCACGAAAGTCTCGATGCGTCTGACCCATGTTGTTGATCATACTCGCTGCTTTCGTGGGCTTTGCTTGTTCTTGGAGCCACTTGTAGCATGTTGCTTTTATCTCGCCTTCACTGGCTACTGCTGCAGTTTGAGCTGCTGCGCTTACTTGCTGCTAAGCTGCTTACTGCTGAACTGCACCGACCAGATCGTTTGTCGGCTGGGTGTTCGTTGCTGTCTGGGGCCAGATTTTGCATTTCTGGGCATTCATGGCTTCAGCTGCTTGTGTTTGTATACAGCAACAATGAACATGAGAGCGTCTTCTGAACACCACACGCACGAAATTCTCGATACCTGGTTCTTCTCGAAGCTCTCCTCTTCACCTTTTCTTTTGCTTTGGATGCACACATGTTGATCCAAATAACCAAACCAATTGGGGTGCACATCACGATCATTAACACGAAAATGACTTTCTTCTGCTTGTGAAACATGACTGAGATCTCAGAGGCGCAGCTCGACTCAATGCTTCGAAGGAACTTTCTTGCACCTTCATACTTTATACCATCTCTTCACCTCAATCTTCAGGTCCATGTTGGCGAAAGTTTCTTGATGCCTCAAATCCTGCATCATGCACTTTACGATCTCAAGGTTGTAGTTTTCTTCTTTGTCTTGAACTTCATAGCGTATTGGAGCTTCTTTGTTTTTGACGATGCTGAAAGGACATGAGCTCCATCTTCTGTGTCTTCTTTCTCTCTTCTCACACGCTCACTCTTGCTCCACACAGGCGCATAAGACGTCTGCGTACTCAGCCTCCAAGGTAATAATAGTCTTCAGGTCATCCTGGAGGCAGCGGCTTTGACATAATGAGCTCTGCTTTGTCCAGCAATGTCTCTGTGCTGCGATCATCAACAACCAACCTTCTGCTGCAACGAGCCCTGCGCAAAGTAGAAGAACTGCACTATGTATACACAGCGTTGTCCAGGTCATGGCATTCTTGATGCTTGTGCACTGCTGTTCTTGTACCACCTTGGCAAACGTCGCCTTCCCGATGTCTGCCGAAGCACCCAACCCCCTCCCCCTCCATGCTTTCGAGAGGGTTTGTGTGAGGGTTTAGCTGCGGCGAGAGGCGTCTCTTCGAGTTCGCGTCTTCTGTTGCGCTGTTGGACATTCCAGGATTCCAGGCGCAGTGGGACCTTCATTAGGGATCGAGTTAGGGGTCAAACTTCAAATCGGGCTACATCGTTAAGTTGCCATTTCTGTAATAGGGTGGGGCTCCTGGTGGGGGTGGAACAAATCCTATGTCATGAGTGTTTCAATCATGAATGCCGTGCATGAGGCACAACCGCCCAAACACAGTTGTTTCTTGACCCTTCCAACTTGTCGTCCGGGGCGAATGGCCTTTTCAAGTCGGCTTGTGAAAGATGCGATGCTTGGGCATTGGGTTCGAGTGATGTTGCTCATCGCCCATTACTTTGCTATTCTTGCGGATACTTGGGCGGTGCCTGGCGACATCTGACCAATGGCGGTGGATCTCCGCCACGATGGGGCGTTGGCCGTGCATAAACAAAGGAGAGGAGGGTCATTGAGTGCCTGAGTACATCAGTCTTGACGAATGCACATATGCCGGATAGTTCTCAGACGGAGCATAAAGCATTAGCATATTTCGCAACAAATGTCCTGCTTTTGGTTGACACAAGTTGGACAAATGCACATCCAAGAAATATGGCTTTTAGATGCTTTTAGAATCCTCATGACAAAAAGTGTGAAGTGTTTGCCGCTGCTTAGTTGGTTTGTGGCGTTCAAAAAGAACAGTGCCTATTTCCGGAAGTGTTTTGCGTTTTCGTTGCACTTTCATGGGATGTATTGGATCCATTTGCTTGCGGAGCTGCGCCAAAGGGCTAAAATGTTGCCGAGGACCACGCCGTCCTCCTTCGGCTACTGCTGGCATTTTCGAATGACGTGGGGAGTTTTTTTTTGCAGCAACGCCCACGTGGGATGTATCGTGGCGTGCTGGCTGTGTGAGTTTAACTCAGGGAAACGGAGCAAGCCCAAACATGATTCATGTTGTGAAACATGTATATTCATGTGTTTTTGGCGCGTGTGGTACACTGTCGCGTCCAGGAAACGGCATCTAATGTTTTGTTCTCAACAATTTGCACCCTTCAGTTTTGCTGTGGCGCTTTGAACATTCGAAGACAGTGGGGCCTCCACACGCCTTCCAAAATCAACCATCCGCCTTGTCAGTTGTCCGGGGCTCAAGCTTAATACAGGCTTTGCAACGTGACCCCTCAATCCCATGCCCGCGGCTTGACTCCATTTGAGGACTTGTGGAGATTTGCATCCATCCACCCTAAACCCTAAACCCTAAACCCTAAACCCTAAACCCTAAACCCTAAACCCTAAACCCTAAACCCTAAACCCTAAACCCTAAACCCTAAACCCTAAACCCTGAACCCTAAACCCTAAACCCTAAACCCTAAACCCTAAACCCTGAACCCTGAACGGAATCCCCCCCTGAAAGTTCAGGGTTTCCTGTTGGCACCGGTGCGGATGTCTGCCTTGGGGGGCTCTTGTCGCATGGAAGCCACCTTGGGCCCAACGAGACCCAATCCCCCAATCCCCGAACACCCTTCGGGCCATTTTTGATCTTGCAGACCCTAGACCCTAGGCCCTAAACCCTAAACCCGAACCCTAAACCCTAAACCAAGAACCGGAATGCTGCAGGTGCACAAACCCTAAACCTCAAACCCTAAACCCTAAACCCTAAACCCTAAACCCTCAACCCTAAACCCTAAACCGACGCTCTACCACCCCACAGCGCTTGCAAGGCTATGCTGCAGAGTCTGGTGCTGGCCGCTTTGGGGCTCGTGACCTGCCGTCGTTGTCGACACGGGAGGGACATGTGGGGGTTAAGGATTTAGGGTTTAGGGTTTTTGGGTTTAGGGCTCAGGGTTTTAGGGTTTAAGGGTTTAGGGTTTTAAGGAAAGGCGTTGGAATTTGGTGCCAACTGGATGTGCAGATCAAGTGAGCCATCTCATCTTTGGAGGGGTAAGGATGTTGCCGTAGGTGGCTGACACAGCGTGACCTAGATGTTGGTTTTTTGCGGCAGAGGAACGTTTGGGATCGATTGCGCGGATGTCACCGTCGGTTGTTGTAGCATGAGTCTAGTTTTCCTCTCCATCTCCTATGCTTGGATCGGTAAGTTTCGTGCACAACAGCTATCGATATCGTTCCAAACTGTCTTTGTCGCCATTGAGATGCGCGCTTGCTAGTTTTTGGCTGCTATTCTGACCGTTCGCCTGAAGTCTCACGAAATCTGAGCCGTTTTTTCCAACCTCGTGTCCTAAACCTACACCTAGTCTCGAACTGGACCTCTTTAGACCCGAGCCCCAGATCCACTGTTAAAACTGGCGGCCCAGGTCCATGTCAGGGCTGCGAACCTGGCAGTCGTCCGTGTGTTCTCTACGGACGATGAGGCTTCTCTCCGTTTGCTCCGGGAGTTTGTGCAAGGTTGAAAGGTTGGATGCTGGCCCGATTACTGTGCTTAGAATAAGAAGTCCCCTATAAGGCACCCCCCTGATGGCGCCTAATATCTTAAGCCCAATATACTAGTAGGATCCCCTTAGAATAAGGACTCCCCCATAAGGTACCCCCAGTAAAATCGTAAACCCCCGTAATCTGCCTTCCAGGTCATGCTGCTGAATTCCAGTAGCATGCTCTGGGAGACTTTCGCCCCATGCGCCGGCCCGTCTTCGACAAACACGATCGACCTGATCCTGGTCTACAGTCGCCTTGGCTTGCAAGTCCAACACCCCGGGCATGGTACACACTGCACCTGGGGATAGTGGAGTGCTTCTGAACAGCCTAAGCAGAATGTTGGAAACACTGGCCGGAGTTCGTTCTAGACTTGCGCCGGGGAAGTGCGTGTGATGGTAAGAGAACCAGAGAACCAGAGAACCAGGGAACCAGAGAGGATGAGCGCCTAGGCCTAAGCCAATCCGTATCCAAAGGCAAAGATCTCGCATCCAACACCATGGCCAGCCAGGCGCTTGACACGAAGGTTTAGGGTTCAGGAGAGTTTTGGGGTCTGGGGCCCCCGGTCGCAATGACAGTGGCCTTGAGAGAAAATGAAGTGTTTATTGCAAAGCATTAAACCCTAAACCCTAAACCCTAAACCCTAAACCCTAAACCCTAAACCCTAAACCCTGAACCCTAAACCTGGGGGCAAGTTGAATGCTCAGCCGTTTTGGTGCGGGAGCTGCGCCTTGTTGTGTGTCCATGAAAGAGGACTTTCCAGGTTTAGGGTTTAGGGTTGAGGGTTGAGGGTTTAGGGTTGGTGGGTTTAGGGTTTAGGGCTGCAACAAGTGAGAGTCTGGCTGCAGAGGGCGAGAGCTTCCTCCACTGACGGCCAGGTCGTGTCGGAGCTTGAAACTACCTTCGCCAACAATGCATCCGCCTGGGTGCAGTGTTTCGGGCCGCTGGATGCCGACATTCAGTGCTTTGATTTTGGCATGTCTTTGAGAGAGTATACGCCCTGGAAGAGCTCATTGTGAGCTTTGTTTGAAGCATCTTTCTCGTAAGCGTGCTTGGGTGTAGATGACCAGAACCATTGAGAGCTTCTCATTCGATCTCGTCATGGGCCTTCTTGCTTCTTGTGCTTCTTGTCTTCAAGCCACCCCTACCCGCTCTCCCGTGCCGTGTTTTGTCTCAACACACATGGGGAGCGCGAGCGCAGCTGAGGAGCATCAAGAACATGTCGGCCAAGCTCAACCCCGAGCAGGATGTGTATGACAGCAACGGTTACACCACGAACAAGCACTGGGTCTCTGGTTGGGGCCTAAGACGCGTCAAGGGATGGAAGGGGAAAATGGCGAGTTTGTGCTATGTTTGCCAACACCAGTGGCGAGCATTTGGATGCTCCTGCCGGGCTTGAGACAGTTTCTCCTGTTTCTTGCATGAGTTGCAGCAAGTACAATGAGTTTATGATGATGTTTGGCGTCTTTAGGTGCTTTTGAGGCATTGAGTTCCGGCCTAGGCCCCAACACCGTCTTCAAGAGCATTATGGATGCCATGTTCACTGGCGCTTACATGGACATGTACGAGTCCTTCTTCCTGATGGACACTTGTGGGGGGGGGGGGGGGAAGGGAAGGTCCAAGATCTTTGGCTTGCCCCGCCAAGGGTTCTGCAAGGTCTCGGCTGCTACAAAATCTTACAACATCAAAAAGTGTCGCCAACTGTTGCACCAAAAGTGTTTGGAGCTACTTTGAACTGAGCCGCAGGCTCAGTGCTCGATCCTCAGACCTCGAAGTCCACAACAGGTTACCGGTTTCAGGGTTCAGTCTTCGCGGTTCTGGGCTTGGTGTGGCCTTGCAGGAGATGGACGCAATGCCCGTCAAGTCCGGTTGGCTTGATGTCTTCGAGGCAGAGGCAAGGTGCTGCAAATTCAGCCCTAAAAGCCTAATGCCTCCCGAAGCCCCCACGCCCTGAACAACCCCCAACCTCGAATCTCAACCCTGAGCCGACACCCGGTGTTCGCAACCTCAAGCCCTCAGAAAACACTCCAAGACCCGCATTTCGGACAAGCTGCCCCCCCCCCCCCCTTCTCCCCCCCTTCCTCCCCGCCCCAATGTCGGAAGCTTGCCTGAACTAGTTCCTATCTCGGAGGCCACTGACATGAAGACGACCAAGAGTGCCGTGAAAGGCAGCCAGTACCTAGGCCAGTGGGGGGGGAGGGGGGGGGGTTTAGGGTTTAGGGTTCAGGGTTTAGGGTTTCAGGGTTATGCTTGCGGTGGCAAGAGTTGCTGCAGTCGCATGCGTCTTCAATGTGTTTAGGGTTCAGGGTTTCGGGTTCATTGTTTAGGGTTTGCTCGGGAAGAGATTGGAGGTGACAAGTGGGACCTGTTCAAGCACATGATGCCGGACTACCTGGTCGATCACATCAATGGCAATGCCATCTACAACCTCAACCACACCTGGACCAAGCTCCTCGCCGCTAAAACATTTTCAGGCCAGAGCAGCTATCTCATCCAGGCCAGTGACGACGTGTAAAACTCATCGGGTTGGGCTCCCAGCGATCAGCTGTTCTTCAGAATTGGGGTTTGATTGGTGGGTGCTGGCGGTGACTCCAGGTACCCAGATACCTTAGGCCCCGGGGCTCTAACTCCAGTTATCCCAGAAACGCTGCCGAGGTTCTTGTTCGACTCCTTCACGACAAACGGCAACATGATGGGAGAGTATGCGTTTGACGTGGCCTTTGCACCTTCTGCTGCAGTGAACTCCCCCCAACCCCAGAGCCCCTAAGCCCCTAAACCCCCTAAACCCCCTAAACCGCCTAAAAAACCGCCTAAAAAACCGCCTAAACCCTAAACCCTAAACCCTAAACCCTAAACCCGAAACCCGAAACCCTAAACCCTAAACCCTAAACCCTAAACCCTAAACCCTAAACCCTAAACCCTAAACCCTAAACCCCAAACCCTAAACCCTAAACCCTAAACCCTAAACCTTGCCGGAACCCTAAACCCTAAACCTCCAACAGATCCAAGAAGAGGATCCTGGCCCGCGCGTGAGGCGATGATCAGCATGGCGGCAGAAGCCGGAACAGACACAGCGCTGCTTGGTGCAGGGAAAGGGCGGGGGGTTGAAGGAGGGGGGGGGGGGGGTTTCTTCCATTTGATGCGATGGCTTGGCGAAGCAGATGCCTGTGAGGAATTTTTGTCGCATTCAGATGGTGGGCAGGCGGTGATTGTTTGGATTTGTTTGGGCTAGCTAACAGCGGCTCTGTTGCGGTGACGTGCGAGGATTTCCGTGGTGTAAACAACGCAACGTGCTTTATCTGTACCACAACTCAGCCCGAGGTATGCGGCGGGTTGGGCTACCGCCATGGGCGACAACATGACCTACAACACCGAGTCCAACCTGGTGGGCAACTATGCGCCCTGGCTCCGTTTTTGTTTTTGCTTTGTTGCTTGTTGCTGTCCCTCTGGCATACACCCTGACCTTGCTTCCTGCACGAGGCGAATACTCTGCTGAATACCAGCTTCGAGTTTCCGACCTACATTCGCCACGGCTCGCACAAGAATCTCTTCGAGAACTTGCCGGCCGGGTCTTCCTTGTCCCATCTTTCGCTCTTTGCTCTTGTGAGACGATTGCCCCCCGGTTTTGGGGGTCTACGGTTTAAGGGGTTTTGACTGGGGTTTTTGCAAATTGTATGGAGGCCTGAGCTAAGTTGCCTGAATGCAGGTGTTGTATTATCTGCCATATCATACAACCCTAAATCTTGCTTTAAGTTCCTCAAACACCCCCGTGTTCCGCTCTCCTGTGATGTAGGACGACAACGTCACCTTGGTCGTGGCATGGTATGACTACCAGGGCCATTTCAGGGAGACGGCAGGGTCCCAAGCTTTCAGCTCACATCCTTCTTTACAGTACATGAGTGATGATGTTTATTGTAGTCCCATGCGCCAGATTCCCACGCACCACCCCTTCAAGAAGATTTTGGGCCTTGCGTACTTCGACCAGATGGACACGACAGAGGAAATCCCTGCCCCGGGTGGCCGCTCGGCCTAAGAAGGCCTGCACGCAAACAGCCCCCCGAAGAAGCCGCGGTCGGAAGGCTGAAGCCTGTCACCTGAAAGCCCTACCCGAGCCAATAGTCCCGCAATGTCCCACTCTGAGGCAATGTGACCCTGACGCTGAAGAAGGCCACGTACGAGCCCTACTACCACCTCTGCGAGGCGTCTTTTCGATTCTTTTCCACACCGGCTCGATGAAGTCAAGACTTCACCCCAAGGTTTCGTCTTCACCCCCCCCCCCCAGAATACTGTAAGCTGACTGAGAGCATAGAGCAGAGGCACCGCTGCCTTTGAATGCGTATCCCGGCGCAACAGGATGAGTCGGGAACAGGGTTTAGGGGAAGTTTAGGGTTGCTCGAGTTGAAGGCTGCCAAGTCGGTGGACACCAAGTGGTTCGCAGGGGCCTCAGTGGATCGTGCTTCGAGCTTTGTGCGGAGAGAGCCCCAGGAAGTCGCCACAGTCACTCCATCCCCGTTTTAGAATGAAGGGTTTAAGGGTTTTAAGGGTTTGGGGGGTTTAGGGGGTTCTCAGACCAATTTCGAGAGGCCGGGAAGGAGTCTCCAGCGAAGCCCAGGGCCGGCTATGAGGGCATGTTCTTGCCTCGCTGCCGGCGGGGTGATGGGTTCGGTGGAGGGAAGGAACGAAAGATTACGTAAAGCAATGCGTCATACGTGAAAGAATGGAGAAAGAACGAGAACGTAGATATAGTCAACTCTCCCAAGCCTCTTTGCCACGGCAGGGGCCCGGGGGTGGGGGTGGGGTGGGGGTGTAGGTGGGCCACGTGAGCTAGGGTGAGCGGGAAGGGTTTGATCTTCGCACGGGCCCACTCCGGGAGGATGATGTTAGGCGGATGTCGCAGAGCTTCGCCTCAGCAGAAGGCGTCACAAGAAGACATGGGGAGACGCAGCTCATGGAGATTGACTTCTGAGGCCAAAAACAAGGGAATGAAGGCATGTTCTAGGCCGGGAGGATCATGGCAAAGGGCGGGGGTGGGAGGCCTTCCGCAACAAGCAAAGATAGCCTCCGGCGAGAGAAGCCTTTGAAGCCACTGAAAGCGGCCTCCATGGCGGCTCCGTTGCAGAGCACAGCGATGCGAGGGCGAGGGAGAGTCCACACACGATTCAGATTCAGCATGTCGCATCGCTCCCTTCAGGCCCTCACAGACAACTACCACATCGTCAAGGCGCCCGTGAGCGTTCTCATGGAGACGAAACTTAGCAGAGTTGGAATCCGATCCACCTGGCACGACCGCCGTTGCTTCCAGAGTTTTCGCTCCCAGCCCTTGCAGGGTTTCTCATGTCTTCTCCCATGCAGAAGCATCAGAGCTTTGCAGGGTGTTTCAACAGCCTCTGGGTGTCGGGCTGGCTCATTCATAGGGGATGCAAGACTCAATGGCCTTCCGTGCACCGCAACCTGGCGCCCCTGCCAAGGATGGACAAGCCCGTGCTGCCCTATGTGCTCAAGGACTCCAGGCTCGGGGGGGGTGCTTTGTTGAGGAGTGCTTGTGACTGTCCTTTGACCCAACCCTTACAGTTCAACCCCGGACCCTTGTGGACTCTACATCCCCTTGAGCCAGGTACTGTGGCGAGCGTCCCAACTGCAAGGCCTCTATGGAGCAGGTCTGGCACCCGAGTGGCACGGGCAGAATGCAGTGAATCCTGGATGGATGAAAATAGGACACTTTTCAGAACCAATGTAGCTGCAATGCAGGCAGTAGCGATGAAACCCAAGCAGTCTGACTGTCGTGAAAAAGTCATGTGCTGCAAGGCACGGGCGTTTCTTGTGAGAGAGTTGGGGGACGTGAGCTGAACAAATCCATAGACGTACCCACACCCATGCCTTGGTGTTTGAAACTCCTGTGTTTCAGGCAGAGGACTTGTTCAGCATCAACCTGAACTACCACCACGACAAGTACGAAGTGCTCTACAAGACGGTCTCTTGGCAGCCTTCCGCCCATTCCCCCCCCCCTTTGGGTTTAGGGCTTAGGGTTTTGGGGTTTTAGGGCGTAAGGCTGAGGCCCCAAAGCCGCGCTTGGTTAAGGAAGGGCAGGGCTCAAGATGTTCAACTTGGTGCAACCCCTCAACCCTAAACCCTCAACCCTAAACCCTAAACCTTAAACCCTAAACCCCAAACCCCCAAACCCTAAACCCCTTCAGCCGGCCGAGGCGGATGCCCTGCAGTTCTGCGACAAGTGGGACTTGGCCACCGTCGGAAAGGGCTGGGGCACACTGCCCGGCAAGTATTTCAAGGGGCCGCGGCTTCGGGAAAGGATTGGAGTTGAGATCTCCGGGCGCTGGAGATTCGATCTCGGACGAGTCGGCGCAGGTGGTGCGTGATGTAAGGAGTCGAGGAGGAGTCGGGGCCACCTTGAAACTTTCGCTTGTGAAGCCCTACGTAAACCCTAACCCTTGACCCTAAACCCCTAATCCGAACCCTGAACCCTGAACCCTAAACCCTAAACCCTAAACCCTAAACCCTAAACCCTAAACCCTAAACCCTGAACCCTGAACCCTGAACCCTGAACCCTATACCCTGAACCCTGAACCCTGAACCCTAAGCGAGGCAACTGCAGCCTTGCCTTCGGCCCAACTGCGGATGCCCGGATGCAAGACTTCGCTCCAAGGCTCCGCAAGAACCCCAAGTGGCGTTGAACATGGCTTGATATGGATTTAGGGTTTAGGGTTTAGGGTTTAGGGTTTAGGGTTTAGGGGTTTGGGGTGGGTTTACTATCGGCCCAGAAGGGTCTCAGGGAGTTGGGACATCGAAAGGCCGTTTGCAGACTTTGACCTTCAGTTGTCTGTGCAAAGGACGACTACATTGCCTGGAAGATCAGCGACGTGAACTTCAACGTGAGCGACGAGTTCGTCCCCAAGGATAAGGCACTGGTTTCCGCGCTCCGCCCGCTCTCCCCCCATAGAGGCAGTGTCTTGGTTTTTTTCGCATTGCGTATGGACTCTCGTAGCCCTGCTTGCGCGCACCATGATGTGTTCTGCTGCGATGTCTGCTCTTGTGATTTTCAGTTTTGGTGCTGTCACTGGTACGTCCATCCCATTTCAAACCATGGCACGCATACTAAGCGCTCTGGCAACTGGCATCGGCCTTTTGACTGACAAGTACATGCTTGGCGCCACGAACTTCGTCGAGCACTATGCGCTCGACTTTCATGCAACTCATGCACAGAAGGATTTCGTGAAAGCTGCCATGTACGCCGGGGCCATGCTGGGCATGATTGTCATGGGTCCGGCATCCGACTTTTTTGGACGCCGTTTAGGCCTCATTCTTTGCTCCTTTATCACGCTGCTCGGTGCATTGCTCTCTGCTCTGGCTTGGAGTGAGAACGCCCTCATTGCAGCCCGCGTCATCACTGGTATTGGTATGGGTGGTGAGTATCCCCTGGCTTCGTCGCACTCTGCCGAATCGTCGGACAAGACGAGCGACGGTGCTCGAAACGTCGCCCTACTGTACCTCTTCGGGAGCGGCTTTGGCCAGGCGTTGTGCCCATTCGTGACGTACTTGATGGATGTCGGGGGTGTTCCGCACGAGCTTCTTTGGCGATGGATCTTTGGAGTGGGCGTCATTCTCTCGGCTCTGGGCCTGGCCTTGCGATATTTCGCCATCCAGGACAGCCAGAAGTTCGTGGAGAGCAAGCAAGCCGAGCAGAAGCACCATGCAAGCACATGGAAGATCCTGGCCCCATACTGGCGGGCGCTTCTGGGAACGGCGGGGTGCTGGTTCCTCTTCGACATTGTCGAGTATGGGTTGAAGCAGAATGATGCGGCAATCTTTAGCAAGAACGCCTCGGCCACTTATACCGACAGCATCCTCCAAGTGTTATGGAGCCGCTTACTGGTGATCCCTTCCTTGATTTTTGCCCCGTGGTTATTAACCAAGATCTCAAGCAAAAGAGTTCAGCTCGTGGGCTTCCTGGGATGTGCGCTGGCCAACCTCATCTTAGCAGTTGCCTATGAAGAGTTGCGAGACCTGTCTGGCCTCTTCTTTGCGTTCTATATTGCTCAGCTGTCCTTCCAGAGCCTGCCAGGGGTCACCACCATGGCCATCTCGGCGGAGATCTACCCCAGCATGGTCCGTGGAACCGGCGCCGGCATCAGCGCCGCCTGCGGCAAGCTGGGCGCGACCGTCGGCTCCTACTTCTTTTCGGAACTCAAGAACTTGGGGGAGATCAGGGCGATTTTCTGGACCGTGTTTGCCACTTCTGCCCTGGCCATGCTCCTCACCGTGCTCAACACTCCCTACTACAACGGGAATGCGCTTGATGAGGCAGATGCGCTTGCCTGTGACGGAAGGCCCGGCCAGGCGGTGAAGGTGCTGTACGCCGGTCCGAAGACTTGTGACGGGACAGAGCCGACGAAGTCGGCCAAATACGTCTCCGAGGACTTGGCCGAGGATGCTGAGGAGAATATGGCCTAAGATAGGACGGCGCCAAATGGTGCAATAGACTGAGTAGACTGCAAAGTAACTGCAAGAGCTGTTGAACGGCTGAGGGGCCGTTCATGCAAAGCGAGAAGTCTGGTGCCACAAATCTTCTTCCGAAGCCGCCGGCGGGATCTGATCTAGAGCCAGGCAGGTTTCCTCTTGGCCTCACAGCCCACGCTGGAACGTGCAATTCACCTGCAAGTGCATGCAAGAGCCATCAAGAGCCACTCCAGGGCCATCAAGAGCCATCCAGAGCCATACCTTACGCTGCTTGAGCGCCAAAAACTTGACTTCCAGGATCTGTGTCTTTCGTGCCCTCCAGTTCTGCCCCATCTCCTACTGGCCTTGCAACCCCCAAACTTTGTTTTCTGTTCACGTTAGGGGTTGCGGAGGGTTACAGGGGCCCCTTGGAAGTTCCTAGCTTCCCACACTGTCCCCACATTGTGTCGCTGTCAGACGCGCTACGGCTGGAGAGCCTGGACCAGCTTGTGGAACCCGGCGCCGGTCGATGACCGCCAGTGTGAGACCAACCTCTACGGCGTGAAGGACTGCAAGGGGGGTGCAGGGGGGCGGGGAAGTGCAATGGGGGGAAAGTGCAAGGGGGGAAGTGCAAAGGGGGGATGGTTTTGGGGAAAAGGTGGTATATGGTGGTGTGGGATCGAAGTGGGGATGGTGGATAGTGGGTGACGGGGTTGTGTGGTTCCTGCAGGAATACCTTGAGACACTTGGCAACATCTCGACGTGCACCGTCAACTATGCCGCTCGGTTGTAGCGAGAGGCAGACCTAGCGCAGGGTACCACGTGGCCTTTCCCATTTTTATTTAAATATTAGTTTTTGGCCTTGGCCTCTGAAAACGGTGTTAGAAGGCAAGGAAGGAAGAACCAACTAAGGAACTTTAATGCAAACCCAGTTCGAAAGCGTATCCCAACCCTTAAACTCTCAATCCTAGCCCGTCAACACTGGCTCTAAGCCTAACACACACACAACCCTCAACAAAGCTACCAAGACACATTAGACAAGCAAACCTGGCTGCAAACAGCGCAAGCTCTGGTCCTCGCCCCTCTTTCATGGCTGTTCCTGCAAGAATGGGTGGTGTCCTTCAGTCGCGCATACTTGTTTCGCAGCATGGGCGTGCTACTCATTGATCTAAGGTTTGCTGCAGTATGGCCCTTTAACAGGCTTACGTGTGGGCAATCCTACACTTACCGTGTGGTGCTCCCACACTCTCCTCCACAGGGGCAACGGCCCTTAATGGGGGTAGCTGATTTTACCAGGGCTCTGCTACAGAACAGCAGACGAATCCGACGACTGGGCCATGAACTGGACTTCGTGTCCACTGGGTTCGACTGCACGCGTAGCAATAGTGCCAGATGCCTGAAACATTATGTGAACGAGGTGCTTCATGGAAGCCCCGAGCTTGACCGCAGAGACTCGTAGAACCACGACAAAGAAGTCCCGAGTGGTAGCCATCCCGCGGGGCGCTGAGGTGGAGAACGAGACGGCTTGCGTCGGTGATACCACATGCATGTGGAGGCGCGCTGGAATCCAGGAAGAGTCCTGGGATGCTTTTTCAGGATTTCAGGATGCTTGGGGCCTAGGTGGTTTAGGGGTCAGGTTATTCAGCTCAGTGTGTTCGTGCAGAATTGTCCTTGCTAAGCCCCGGCCACTCCAGCGGCAGCCTTAACCTTGAGACACGGGACACATCTCCAAGCAAGAAGCACAAATTTTTCCAAGTTTCCGTCTGCCGTTGCCAACTCGAAAAAACCTCACCAACTCTGCATGCGAAAGCCAAAAGTGGTGAAACATATTTGGCAAGTCTCCCAGGCCACTTTTCGAATCTGGCGTCTGCCTGCTGAATCCGAAGAGTGTGGGCCTCAAGAGCCACAGCTGTGTAGATGCGAAACAAAGCATGAACGACAATGCCACTCCTTCCTTGGTCCCTTTGTCATGTGGGGGTGTACGAATATAGGGGACCCCTTCATATAGACCCCCAAGTAGTAGGAACCCTAAACCCTAAACCCTAAACCCTAAACCCTAAACCCTAAACCCGAAACCCTAAACCCTAAACCCTAAACCCCAATAAGGTACCCCGAAGATCGTAAACCCCCCATGTGGGGCTGATGCTCAAGCTGATCCCAGGCTTCACCACATCGACAACGGCAGCTCTGGATGAAATTTCAGCCGAAACCCCGAAAGGACCCTAGGGTTTAGGGTTTAGGGTTTAGGGTTGTTCAAGCGTCCCACGCAACCTGCGATATGACTCCCACCGCTGTTCTGCACACGCGAAGCCCACCTGATCTCCCCCACCTTCTGAAACGTTGCCATGAACTGATGGCGGCCAAGATTTCGTGGCTAAATTTGAGGATTTGGATACTTCGTTGGTCCATTCTCTATGAATCTTGGGGGCAAATGCCGGCCTGAACTCTAACAGGGGTTGCTTGGCCCATCTCGCAGGGCTTCAGCCGGTGTAGACTAATGTAGACCGCACCCAGACTTCGGCCCTGAAACGGAGCTCCGAATAAACCCCCCAAGGATCCCAAGCGCCCCAGAAGAGAAAAGGGCGAGAGGCGAATGCATCCCAGGCCTCCCCAGGTGCCCAAGCACCAAAAAAAGGCGTGCACCCCGAAGCCCGAACACCCCTGGAGCCAAGGTTGCGGCGCGAGCCTGAGCTCGACTACCGGGTGGTTGCATCTTTTTGTTGTCATGCCCCTTGTGGGGTCGGGTGTGTGCTTGAAGCTTGAAGCGGTTTTTTTTGTTTTTGGGTGGGGGGTGGGGGCGAAAGCTGTAGCAGACTGCTCAAGTCCTCAGGGGGCTGTTTACAGCGTCGTGGAAGTCGCCACTTCGCTCACCGTGGACGATCCGACCAAGATCACCGGGAATGCCGGGGCCTTGTGTCTGTGTGTGTTCGCATCAAGTGCATCAGGGATGAAAGCGCTTCTTGCACATGAGCCCGATAGCATGGTTTTCTGGGTCTCAGTTCAGTTCTGTCCCCCTTGTCCCCAACTGAACCCACCACTGGTTTCCCAGATCCTTTAAGGAGACGATCAAGACTGCCATGAAGCCGGTGGCCCAGATTTTGGGGACCTGTGGAAGGCTTCGGGTCCCAGGTCTTGAGTTTATGCCCAGGGCCACCCTTGACTGGTGGAGGAGGTGGGGCTGTCATGGGGCCTGTGTGATCGCTTGGGCCCTAAACTGAAGAAGTGGTGCCGACCTGCACCTTGCAACTGAGCATACGTCGAGCCCAGAGGTCCCTGTGGCATGGACCGAGGTGCGCAAGCCTTGAATCCCAGGCCGAAGCAAGTACAGCTGGCCCAGGCCACGGGATGTTCGCGAAAAGTCCAAGCGGTTCACCTGGGAGTTTCCAGACCGCTCGGTGTGGCTCAGCATGCGGAAAGCGGCTGCGGGTCGAGACAAAAACGCCGGAGAGCAGCCGGTAAACGCAAAGCTTTGAAAACACCGCGTAAGTGCCCTTGGGGGACGTACAGGCTTGTTGGAAAGCCCCTGAAGCTGTTTGTTTTGATTAACAATAAAGGCTTGCAGTATCAGCAGGCTGTGCCAAGCCTTCCTTGCCCTTGTTACGTGTAGAAACGCAGAAACCCAGGAAAACAAACCCTTTCCGTCGCCTGCAGATGTCCATTGAAGGCAAAAATATTTGCACCGCCCGAATGTCCGGTTCTGTTGCAGCCTGGTTGTGCGAGCATGTGCATGAGAAAGGACTGGCTTTGCGGTGGCGATCAAGGTCGTTCCAGACCCTCGGCTGCGCACAGAGTTCTTTGTAGGCATCATCGCGGATGGGTGTTCCATAAAGCCATATTGCAAGTTGTGTTTTATAGCAACGCGTATACTATGCGTATTGAGGTTTTGATATATGCTCAAACTGTATGCGCAGCATTTTAATGTATTCATGAATGAATGTATGATCTGAATGTAAGAATATATGTACGAATGTATGAATGTATGAATGTATGAATGTATGAATGTATGAATGTATGAATGTATGAATGTATGAATGTATGAATGTATGAATGTATGAATGTATGAATGTGTGAATGTGTGATTGTATGAGTGTATGAGTGTATGAGTGTATGAGTGTATGAGTGTATGAGTGTATGAGTGTATGAGTGTATGAGTGTATGAGTGTATGAGTGTATGAGTGTATGAGTGTATGAGTATATGAGTGTATGAGTGTATGAGTGTATGAGTGTATGAGTGTATGAGTGTATGAGTGTATGAGTGTATGAGTGTATGAGTGTATGAGTGTATGAGTGTATTCATGTATTCATGTATTCATGTATTCATGTATTAATGAAGTAATGTATCAATGTATTCATGTATTAATGTATTCATGTATTAATGTGTGAATGTATGAATGTATTAGTTTATTATTGTATTAATGTATTAATGTATTGATGTATTAATGTATTAATGTATTAATGTATTATGTATTAATGTATTAATGTATTAATGTATTAATTTATTAATGTATTAATGTATTAATGTATCAATGTATTAATGAATTAATGTATTAATGTATTAATGTATTAATGTATTAATGTATTAATGTAGTAATGTATGAATGTATGAATGTATTGATGTATTAATGTATTCCGCCCCGCACCCCCTTACCCCTTGCCCCTTACCCCCTACCCCCTACCCTACTCCTTACCCCCTACCCCCTACCCCCTACCCCCTACCCCCCGCCCCCTACCCCCTAACCCCTACCCCCTTCCCCGTACCCTCAGGAGAAGGTGCAGCTGAGATTCGAGACGGGACGTCTTCTGAGCGAGCTCAGCGAGTTCAGCGAGCTCAGCGAGTCCGGAGACTCCCGTCAGCTCCAGTCGACGCTCACAGCGCGCGAGCCTCGGGAGTGCTTTGGGCTTTGAGTCTGTTGGGAGTTTAGGGTTTCGGGTTTGGGGTTTCAGCTTAGGGTTTAGGGTGTTGAAGTTTAGGGTGTTGGATTTTCATGGTCGGATCAGGGTTTCGGACATGACTGCGGAGAGTTGCGGATTGGCAGCCCGCGCGCTACATCCAGGTCTATGCCCGGTGGAGTGCCTCTTCCTAAGCCCTAAACGAGGTCGAATCCACGTCCTTGAAATTCCGTTCCCAGTGCATGGGCTCGCAGTGCAATGGGTTTAGGGTTTAGGGTTAGGCAAAATGATGCCATGGTCGCTTGTGAACACTTGTTTGGCACTGGTAGACTCGTGCCACACTTGAATGTCTTACGATCTCTACGTGGTGTTTTTGCTTCGCGTTTTTGACCTTTTTCTGGAAGGTTGGGGGGTTTGATGTTACTTGAAAGAGGAAATTGAGGTTTCCTTTTGACATCACAGAGCAAATTGTAGGTTTGTCGATTAGCATGCAAAGGAAATAGAGGCTTTCCTATTTGAATACCGAAGAAACAGACGTTTCCTACTAAAATACAGAAGCAGCACACGTTTCCCTAATAAAACATAGTTGAATAGAGGTTAAGCCGAAGGAAAGAAAGAGTCAAAAATGACACAAAAAACATACGCAGAAAGCGAAGCGAAACAACAAACAAAACAAATAAGTACTGAACAAAACGGTTATACAAGAAACGCAGATTTCAAGCCTTGCAAGCGTGGCGTTAAGAAAACATGCTAATCCTTACGGAGCCAGCGGTCGCACATGCCGAGCTCCTGCAGGAACTCTGCGTGGCGGTAAGGGTACACCGGGCTAGGGCGATTTTGCGCCGCCGCGCTGAGCTGGCGGCGGAGTAGTGACCTTGATGGTGAGCGAGTGTGTATCAGAGGGGGCACGGGTTGGCCTACTGACTAGTGCTGCGTTTGGGAGTACCCAGCGTAGGGAGGCTGGGTCGGTTGACGGGCATCGCTGCGTCTTCCGTCCGCGAGCTCGCTTTCGTCAAGCGGTCGGCGTGACCGAGCCACAAGTGGCCTTTTGTCATGTCTGCGCCCGTTCCCATGGTGCTGGGTTGTCTTTGCACCGCCCTCAGAAGTAGGGTAGGTATTCTCTCGAGGAGTTCCGCAAGGGCACACACGCATGCGCTTGCCGGCGCCAAGGGGTGCTTATGAGCATGTATGCACGTTTGACGTGGTCCCCTGGTGCTGTTTTGTCCTCGTGCCGCCCTCAGAAGAAGGGAAGGCGGCACTGTGCAGAGTCCTGGCCTTAGGGTAACTTAAACCAGTCATGCGAGTATTGTGGGGCGGGGGGGGGGGGGGGCCCCCCCCCCCCCCCACCCCTCCCTGCTGCTTAACACAAAGCGTGGCGCCTCCGAGATCTGCTGCCAAAATGCATGCCAGATTGAAGTAAACGTGGCCCGAAAAATCAGCATTGGGGCTTCGTATCTTGTGATGTGTATTCTCTCGAATGATGTGTAATTCTCTGCACAAGTGTCCACATTGGGGTGATGCGTATTTCCACGGCCTGATGTGTGTTAGACCCCTCGAGGTCCTTTTCCAAACCTGTCGTCGAGGATTGTGCTTTCAATGGGGGCCCCCATCCCCCGCCCCCCCCGAGCCCCTCCGCTTTTGTATTTTCTTTTGCAGCCTTGCAAACATTTCCTTGGATGCCTTGTATACAAGATTGCTTCATACGAAGACCATGCCTTGCGAGGACTTTCTACAAATTTGTCACGCGAGGCTTGTGTTTGTAAATGGGCATTGCTTGTGTTTTATCAGGAACATCCTCTATTTCCTCTGTACTTTGGAAGGAAAAACTTTTAGTTCCTCTGCATTTTAGTGGGAAAACCCGTATTGTAATGGGAAAACCTTTATTTCACTGGAAGCTTGGTAGGAAAACTTCCGTTTCCTCTGCGGAGAACATTTATTTCTTCCGCGTTTAGATAGCAAGCAAAAAAGGGTACAAAAAACTCCCCGCCGAAGCATCTATCTGTCCGAGAGCCTTACCAAGACCGAGAGCCACAAATCCTTCTATGGCGTGCTCCAGCGCCCCCTAAGACCCGCATCAGGGTATACGATATTAAGGCTTAGGGGTACCTTATTGGGGTCCTTCTTACAAGGGGATCCTACTTAGTTGGGGGTCTACATAGCGGGCCCCTTATTGTCGTCAAGCCCCAAATCGGTATGTTTTTCGCACTTGGGTGGCTACGTGTCTAGGCCCGTGCTCTGCCAGGATCTTCTCAGTGGCAATGGACGATCCCGCGCAAGCTCAAGCGATACTTGGCGCAAAAGAAGGTCTGGGTCAGGTTCGAGGTTCAGAGTTCGGGCCAAGTTATGCATGTTAAAGACTCTCATCCGCCCTCGCGGTAACCCCCAACATTGCAAAGTCACAGTGAGAATCCTGAATTCCCAGGTTCTGGACCAGTGGTGGTCGCATATGTTGCTGCCTTGCAGCCCATGTTTTTTGTAATGAGGCATTCATGCCCCGGCTGTCGAGCAAAGGTACCTGTCCCCCATGAGTTCTGCGTGGTGTGATTGCGGCAGAAAGAGACGTAAAATGAATGGCTCGTGAACGTGCCTCAGGATGCAAGTGAGCGTTGAGACACTCTCTCTGGAGGAGACCAACAACGTCGGGGCGCCAGGAATCAGATAGGAGGGGTGTGGATGCAAGAGCATGTGAAGTCATAAGAAGTCAGATGTCGCATGGCCCTGGACATCAAGCACCCTGGTCACCCCTTTCGTGTATCCTCTCGTGCGGCATTTGGGTGCCGCCCTCGACACTTCCCGTCAAGACTGAGCCAACCTCCCTCAATTCATTCCATGCCCAGCAGCTTGTGACCTGTGAAGCCTCAAGGCCATCAACACTGCCGTTCTGGACCGGGCAGCCAAGTGCCATCGGTGCGTTTTTGGTGTTTGGGCATTGGGGGTTCCTGAGCCCTGCCAAACACAAATACCCCCCCAAGCACCGAGTCCCTAAAATCTCAACCCTAAGCCCTAAGCCCTAAACCCTAACCCTAAGCCTTAAACCCACGACATCCCAACCCCCTGGAAATGGTAAGGTTCTCCCGGCACGATTCGCCTCCCGGCCCGAACTGGTCCTGTTGGCCACGGTTCGGTGAATGCGGAAGCCCTAAGAAAACCAGGCTGGAAAGGCCCCCCTGGGTGGATATCCAAAGCATTGATAATGCTCAGACCATCCCTCACGGATGGGTCCTTGGAAGGCTTTGGGGGTTCAGGGATGTCCCGCGAGCAAACGGAGCGCAGGACGCGGGCTTCACCGGCACCCTCCAGGCCCTTTGTTGATCTCGGCAAGGTTTTTGTAGGACAAAGAGCAGGCCTGCTGGGAGGCTTCGATGAGAGAGGAGTTTCGTCGCGACCTCTAGGCCAAGCCTTCACACAAAGGGTAGGGAGACAGTGTGCCAGGTGACTGGCAAGAGTACAACCATTGTCGAGGCCGGGTCGGAAAGCGCGCTGTCCCCTCTCTCTGTCTTTTTTTTTCTCTCTCGCTCTGTCTCATTCTCACTCTCTCCTTCCCCGCCCTCACCCGCTCACGATGGTATTTGCAGTATTCCATACATCTGCATACGGAGTGTTGGGCCGCGCAGCCTCCTACATTCCTTTGGAATGCTTCGAGACCCCGCGATGAAAAAAGGTGTGCAAACCAACTAAACAAACTGTGACCAACCGAAGTGGGCTTGTGGCACCAACCAGCTGTTTAGGGTTTCGGGTTTAGGGTTTGATGTCGCTGCTTCCATGATCTTCCCCGAGTTCGGGTGACTCTATGCTGATTCATGCGCTCAGGGCACAACCACGACCGTCCGCTGCTCAGATGTGACGGGGCACGGAGCTGCATTGAAGGTGCAAAGGATCTAGTATGGGTGGTCAAGCCTTAACCCGAGCCTCATTCTACTATAAATGACTTCCCCAGATTTTTCTCCAAGCCAACCTTTTTTCGTGTGTGGGTTTAGAGTTTAGGGTTTAGGGCTTAGGGTTGGGGCTCTCTGGTTGTAGGGACGCTCCGAAACGAGCTTGGCCCGGCTGAGACCACCACCACGACCACCACCACCAGTACCGCCGCGCCAACGACAACGACAACCACATCGGCAGCCAGCTCAGTCAGTGGGGTTTAGGGTTTAGGGTTTAGGGTTTAGGGCAAAGAGGGCTGCTCCAGGAGCCGTACATCCTCCTCAACGGTTGTCGTCCCAACACCTGCACTGAACGGACTGATGGCGGGAGTAGAAGTTCTGCAGTCGCATGGCTCTGACTTCAGCTTCTGAGGACCCCCTGGGTGGAGGAGGCCGGAGCCCTAAACCCTAAACCCTAAACCCTAAACCCTAAACCCTAAACCCTAAACCCTAAACCCTAAACCCTAAACCCTAAACCCTAAACCCTAAACGAAAATGCCGTCGGCATAAGGGGGGGGACCCCGGATGGCAGATTGAGGGGGGAGCCTAGGCTCCCTGAAGGGTTCATCTCAGGGTTTATATATAAGGGTTTCTGTAAGGGTTTTAGGGTTTATATACGGGTTTCTGTAAGGGTTTTAGGGTTTAAGGGTTTTTGGTAAGGATATAAGGGTTTATATAAGGGTTTATATAAGGGCTTTAGGGTTTATATAAGGGTTTATATAAGGGTTTTAGGGTTTATATAAGGGTTTATATAAGGGTTCATATTTGCCCAGCATTTGCTCCGTGCTGGTCAAGTCGTGGTGGGATACGAGAGTCAAAGGCTGCATGCTGTCCTCTTGGGGGCACTTCTCGAAATCCAGAGTGCTTCTTCTTCGCTTCCCTTTCTAGCCGGCGGGCTGCAAATGGTCATCGATCCGATACTTTTTCTTCATGTTGCTGCGTGTTTTGGGCTCGCGAACTCTCACACACTACTTGTTTTCATTGCTGCTTCTGTTATGTTGTGATTTCTTCTTGCTCGCATCTGGCATCCGTGCGGGTTTGATCATGACAGTGTCTTCGGTAAACCCTTGGTATGTCTATGAGCCTACGTGTGTCTTCAAAACATAAGTTTTCCTTGGTTTCCCCAAAATGATTCTTTGAATGTTGTGAGACATGTTTAGTTTTCTGTAGCTTCCTCCGTTTTCTACAGATCGAGACGTTGTGGTAGGGACCATCAAAGACCCGAAGATGTAAACACTGTATTACAGTGTAACCCTACCCTGAACCCTGAAGCCCTGAACGCTACAACTGTTTAGTAAACCCTAAACCCTAAACCCTAAACCCTAAACCCTGAACCCTGAACCCTAAACCCTAAACCCTGAACCCTGAACCCTAAACCCCAAACATCCCAGATGAACATCCCAAGAAGGAAAGGTTCTCTGAACCCGCAGGTACCAGCGGCACCACGAAGGCGCATTTTGCCGGGCTCTTCAGTTCGGTGCGCGCTCTGGGACAGTGGGCATCAAGCTTTCACTTGTCCAGAGTGTTTCAGTTTAACAGGGTTTAGGGTTTAGGGTTTCAGGGTTCAGGGTTTAGGGTTCAGGGTTTATGCTTTCAGACATTGTGCAAGCGGTTGTTAAGTCTCGGTTTTCGGTGCATCATGGATTGTGCGAGACATCGTCTGCCCCCGGGACCTGATCCTCCCGAGTAGAACCCTAAACTCTACAGTAAACCCTAAACCCTAAACCCTAAACCCTGTAACCTACCCTAGCTGTAAGCTCGCCCGAAAAGGAGTGAAGGGTTGTTAAAAAAAAAAAACCCTAAACCCTAAACCCTAAACCCTAAACCCTAAACCCTAAACCCTAAACCCTAAACCCCTAAACCCCTAAACCCTAAACCCTAAACCCTAAACCCTAAACCCTAAACCCTAAACCCTAAACCCTAAACCCTAAACCCCAATCCCTAAACTTCTGGCCTTTGGTGGCCTATTAGTGCCCCCCCCACCCCTCCCATGGAATGCCCAATCATCTTATAGTGATATTAACTTTTGGTTTAGAGGGTTTCCCGTTTAGGGTTGAGGGGTGTAGGTTTGTAGATGCCCCCTGTATGCACACTATCAAAAATATATGCCCAAACTTGGTGAATATTGTGTTGATAGGGTACCAATTGCCCTTGCAAGTACGTGAAGCACGCTCTGTGGATTTTTCCTGTGGGTCACCATGCGCTGGCATGGTCACAATAAAAGCTCTCACGTGTCAACTTGTCCTACCGAAGCCCTTTGCATCAGGGTTGGCGCGCTCACCCACATGCAGCCTGCGAAGAGGTTAATTGCAGCACTGTGTAACCTGACAAAACCGAAGGCTCAACGCTTTTTCGCCTAGAATTCCTCAGTCACGAATGCTAGATGCGTGGAGCTTGCGGTAGTTTAAACCTAAACGCTAAACCCTAAACCCTAAACCGTAAACCCTGAACACCCTTGACGTGTCCCCCCCTTTCCCGGCCGAGGCCGCCGCGATGCTGGCGCTTCTCGCAGCGCTTCCCGCACTTGGCTGAAGAAGGCACGCTGTCAAGGGGTTTAGGGTTTAGGGTGTAGGGTTTAGGGTTTCGGGTTTAGGGTTTCGGGTTTAGGGTTTAGGGGGGGCCTTGCTCCGGCTTGATAAACATTCGCTGCGGAATATCTACAGAAAGTGATTCGTTGTTTTTTTTTTTTTTTTTTGTGTGTGGTGCTTGTTTTGGGTTTCGGGAGGACCGAAAACAGGAACCTACTTCATTGGCTACATTTTTTGTTTTTCCGATGCAATTATATATTGGTCACACTTGCACTCCTCCATGATTCACACCCTGTAGTTCTGTTCCATGTCAATGGGCTTTTAAGAGCCCTATCTATATCTTTACTCGAGTTTGCGAGCAACCAAAGTAAGTGACTATGCTGAGGCTACTGCAGCTCAGCTAGGTGTAGGAACTGGCCACGTGCTGCTGCAGGTGAGTGCCCGATCTGAGTTTCGACAAGCCTCGAAACTCGTGCTGTGGAAGCATAGTTTCCAACACGGCAAGTGTTTGCGTGCCGGGTCAGAGTTCCAGGGCACCGAACACTGTGACTTACCATGCACGACGCTGCGTACCCGCAAAGCAGGAAAACGAGGGGACTAGGCTGGGATGGGAGAAGGCGCTGCTTAAACGCGTGACATGCTTGCAGTGTGGGAGTTCTTGATTCTCTTAGGTTGAGGCTTTGGTTTAATTTTCAGATGCCAAGTTTGGAGCTTAGAGTTTGGGGTTTGGGCTTGGCTTCGCCGTGGCCCCAGGCCCTAAACCCTAAATGGATTCAAGCCTAGGATCGCTAGTTTTCGCTTTGTGGGCGGGCAGAAGCTGTTTGCCTTCGGCCGTGTAAACGCGAACGCCGCCGCACAAGCCATTGAGCGCTTGGCGGACGAGCTCTCTTGCTAGCATGATGGTCCTGCTTTTTTTAAAAAAGCAGATGGTAGAACCCTGGAGACGAATGTTGCACGACCGAGTGGAGAATTGTCGGACGGCCGGTGGGAGTTGGGGGCCGGTGGAGACTTGGCCTTTGGGTTTGCGACCGCCGAACCCTGAAAGCAGGGCTCTAAGCACAAGCCCTAAAAGTTCCTCAACGCTAACTTCTGAACCTGCAGCTCCGAAGTCGAGAAGTTGGGGGGTGAAAGTTGAGAGCTTGTTTCTGTGCGGGGCCCTCCGACTCCAAAAATACGATGCCCCTTATATTTGGCGGTTTTGGGCGAGGGGGACTCGGGGCTTGGGGTTTTGGTTAGGGCTCAGGGCTTTAGGGTCCTTCGAACGTTTGGGGGTTCTCGGGGATCTCAGATGGGTCGCCTGCTCCCCTTCCCACCTGAGTGCCTGGAAACTCCGGGCCAGAGAACCGGCGGAGACCCGAAGCTTGCGCCGCGTTGTGTTTCGAATGTTACAGTCGAGGGATTTTTGAGCTTATGAGCTTAGGGTTTTTTATGGGTCCCAGACCATGTCCTCTGACGTGCCTCATGGCGCTATTTTCTCAAAAGCCGCCTTCAGCAAGTTGGTCTACTGTTTCAAACCCCCGTGTCACCAAGAGCGCCTAAAGCGCTGTCTTGGCTTCTCAGCCCCGCACTTAAAAGTCACCGCGCCCAGCCTCTTGTGATCCTCTCACACCACAAGCTGCCACAGCCTCCGAACCCGGTTTAGGGTTCCTAGGGTTTAGGGTTTAGGGTTCTGACCACTTCTCCCTAGGCCGTCAGCCCAAACTCTTCAAGCCCCCATTATAAGCCCGAGAGCAGTGCCTTTTCATCCCCGGTCGGTGTGCGGTGTGGGGCACGGCGCCTTTCGTGAAGCTGTTCTGCGGATTTCAGAGAGTGTGACAATGGTTTGGTGCCATGTACATATGTTCCATCAGCACATGGCGTTCCTTGGTACGCCTGAGTTTGAGATTCTTGGAGAACTCCGTGTAGTCACCTCTCGACTTCCCGCCTGTCTGCACGACGACCAGCAACTGTCAAGCCTCCCAGTGGGAGAAACAAGTGGTTTGGGTTTCGTCGGCTGATTTCAGGGATGTTTCAGGTTTGGGGGTTAGCGCCGCTAGGGGTTCAGGGAGATTCAGGAGGGATTGAGGCCGTGAGACACATAGGCTTCAGCTCATAGTGTCACAGAGTCGAAGGAGCAGTGTTCGTAGTGACCGCAGAACGTGCCTAAATACTCGAACAGCAGATTGTGAGGTTCTTACGAAGGCTGCTCTTGGTCTCGGAACCCTGCTACACAGGCAGTTCCCTAAAATGTGATCCCTTTCTTTTGGGGTCCCATGATAAGAATGCCGCATTGTATAGGGGGGCTTTTGACATGGCACATGCTCTGCTTGCCGACCCTCAGACTTTTCTAGGGTAAGCTCCGGCTCTGCAACGCGATCAGTTGCCCTCTCTTTCTCGCAGCTTGGCATCCTCTTTAACACACGGCATGGAGGCGATGCCGTGGAGGTTGCCTTCTTAATTCCGGAGGACGTAGCGATGTTTGCATTCAGAGGTGGAGGAAGCGGTGCATTCTCTAGTATTCGTAGCTCCCTCGCCCCCCCCCCCCTCCCCTACAAAAGAAAAGCCCACGGACATGGACAGCAGCAGAATCCGGTAAGCAGTCCGCACCCAATTGGAACGTCACAAGTCGACTTCACAGACCGAGGCCATGATGCGGACATTGGCATTAGCTGCTCTGAGCTTGGTGGCTCGCCTCCTTTAAGATCTGTCTGTCATGCTCCTGCTCTTCCGGGTACGCCAGAGGGAGCGTGATGTCAGAAGGCAGAGAACTTTAGGGGCTTTCGGGCGGGTTGAAGACCATCTCGGGCTCCTGGATCCCCTTACTCTTCTAACCCCCCCCCCAACCACACTCCCTAAACCCTAAACCCTAAACCCTAAACCCTAAACCCTAAACCCTAAACCCTAAACCCTAAACCCTAAACCCTGAACCCTAAACCCTACACCCCCCTAAAGCCCCAAAAACGTTCAAAAGCGGTGTGCCCAACAAGGGATGACACCGGCTCTCCAAGCCTGCACCAAAAAAACCCCGTATCAGTTCCTGAAACCCCTAAGGCCTCCGGGTGAAGCAGATCACTCGGGTTTAGGGTTTAGGGTTTAGGGTTTGGGGTTTGGGGTTTGGGGTTTAGGGTTTAGGGTTTAGGGTTTAGGGTTTAGGGCTACTGAGGTGCAGGTATGGGCCGGAGGGCACATGGGGCACGAGCACCTGGCAGTGGTCCGGGTGTTCTCCACCGACGAGGAGGCACAAGCTAGGGTGCTGTTCGGGCTTAGGGTTTAGGGTTTAGGGTTTAGGGTTTAGGGTTTAGGGTTTGAGAACAAGTTCATGACAGCGGAAATCTGCCGCGGGCTCTGGCGCAGGTGATGCTGCTGAAGGAGAGTGGCGAGAAATGGGACGACGAGGAGCCCTGCGAGATGAAGTCGAACATGAGCGCCATCGACCTGATCCTGGTCTACAGCCGCTTGGCTGAACCCACGAACCCCCAAAGAGGCCCGCACAAGATACCCAGAAAGGCTCGGATCGGATCCCACATCCGCTGCAAGAAGAGTGAAAGGAATCCGGCGGCGCCTGTCGAAAGCCTGGACTGGAGAGTAAGGAGCACAGGAAAGGCGAAGGAACCTTGCAAAGACAAGGAAGCAACCAGAACAGGCAAATCTTCCAGAGAGCAGGCCCCAGAAAAAGCTTTGGTTTGGTCCTCAATCCTGGCAGGTACCGTGCCTTAAGATTCATTGGGGGCTATCAGTGAGGAAGTAGCGGTGGTTGGAACCTTGGTACCAATTAAGAGTGCCACTTATAGACATGAAAGACAAACAAGCAGCATCGGGAAACCCGCAACGAATCCTGCAAGCTCCTGTCATGACGAGACTGCGACAGACACGGGGCGGTGCAGGCAACGGATCAGACGTGCTGCGATTCAGCTCCGCCAGTCAGATCAACCATTGACAGCAGGGAAGCCCATCATTCAGCCAGGACGATTCAGAGCTGAGACGGCACGAACCGGCTCAGGGGATTCAGGTAACTTGACACACTCCGTTTAGGGTTTAGGCCTTCCCCAGTCATTGAAGAACAGCGTGATTGGCACTGCGGGGGGGGGGGGGGGGGGGGGGGGGGGGGCCGGGGGGGGGTCAAAACTGCTCGTGGCATTTTAGGCATGGGCTATTCTTTCGGTTTCGTAACTTTGCATTCGGCGCACCGACCAACCCCATGCCGACATCTGGGTGGGGCAAGCCTCCCTGGAACCCAAGAATCTAAAAGAGTCCCCCCAGATTTTCGAGAATTGCAAGACCATTTTTGTGTTGCGTTGCCATTCGCAAAGATGTGAGCTTGCGCAAGATGTCGGGCCAGCATACGAGTGGCGCAGAGTTTGAGGCCCTGCGTGCTTAAGTTCTCGTATCCCGCTGTTTCTCACTGGGGAAGGCCTAAACCCTGGGAGCCGCCCCAAACAGAGGGCAGCGAACTGCGACTGCTGCAGCTGACCTCGGCCCTGGTCGAAAATCGGCTCGTAGGATAGGGTCGGGGTGTACGGCTCGTACACCGACTTGTAAGCCCTATGCTATCTCCCGAGAGATCTTCGACGAGCCATGGCTTGTCAACAATTCGGATCACGGATTTTCCGTGAACTGGCTCGCTCAAGTCGGGGCAGTTTCCTGTTTGAGTCAGATCCAGGTCTGCGATTCAGCGTGCGCGCACGGGGGCTAACGGGATCAGCAGCTGTACGACTCAGATGACGGGGTTTTACGGCCTTTGGGGGGCTTGCTTTTGGCCCTGCGCTCTTCTTGTGAAGGGTTCCGAGAGTGCATTTGTTTTGGGAGCCCAGGCAGGGCTTCCGCGGGGTGGAGCGAGCTGATTGGCTGTTGCAAAGCTTCCGGCAGCCTCTCAAACCGCCTGAGGCAAGGACCTGATGATGAACCCCATGGCCAACAAGGCGTGGGCTGGCAATTTCCGGATGGGTGCCAAGGGGGGGGTGCTGAGTGCTTCATGGAAGCTGTTTTTTCTTGTATCCCTTCAGGGAAGCCGGCACGAGTGGAGCGTCTTGTAGGTTGGGGTCCTTTCCGGTATGTTCTGCACTTACGTCCATGCAAGCCACCGAGAGCACGCTTTCGCTGTCCGACCATCCTTGGTCACATGCACTCGACGTCTCCGGTGCCCAAAATCCCAGAAAGGGGGCAAGATCCACCCAGAGATTCCCATACCCCCGCCCTCCCTGCCGCATCATCGACGGCTGCGCCACTCAGAGCAGGTGGTGATGGATCTCATGGACGGTTTCAAGATCAAGATGGACATGGACTCCGGGGCTGACTTAGGGGTGGGTAATTTCGGGTGGTGCACGTACCTTTGAGTCTCTAAGAATAGGTCAGCATACCCCAAACCCATACCCCCTTTAACCTTTAATAGGGGAATGTCTGGCCGGAGTTACCATACCCCTCAATTTGCTTTAAGGGTATGTGTAAGAGGTATGTTGAAGATGTCTTCAAGAGTCAGAAGTAGAGCAGCCACAGTTGCCCGACTTGAAGCTTGGAACCTCATAGCTGCCCTGGAACCCCCTAAACCTTAAACTCTAAACCCTAAACCCTAAACCTTAAACCCTAAACCCTTCAAAAGCCGAGGAGATGTACAACATGACCAACGTGACCAACCCCAACGCCACCATGTATGACTGGATGAAGTGCTTCTCGCCCCCTGGGCAGAGCTTAGAACCTCTTAAGACCTATAGTAGGGTTTAGGGTTTAGGGTTTAGGGTTTAGGGTTTAGGGGCTTAGGTGTTACGGTTTAGGTCTTGCCCTGCTTGCAGATGCGTGTGAGTGACCCGGGGCTTCCCCAAGGCATCCCCCAGCAATCAAAGCCTGAACCCCCTCTGCCCCCAAAAAGCCTCAAAGCCTGAAGTACCCAGGGACATCAAGTACATGTCCGCCGGCCTCAACCCCGAGCAAGATGTCTACGACAGCAACGGCTACACCACGAACAAGCACTGGGTGTCCGGCTGCTGCCCCAGACATCCCCAGACCCATCGGGCGTCGGAGGGTTTAGGGTCGTGGGCGAGGCCCCAAACCGTTGAAGTAGAGAAGGTATCGACTCAAACAGGCCAACACAGGACATATTCATATATAGGAACACTAGGAACCCTCATGCGTGAATTACAGGGTTTAGGGGTTGTAGGATTGTAGGGAATGCCCCCTCGGTTGAGAAGCTATGGGAGTCTCGGGAGTTGGCTTGCCTCAAACCCTGAGCGCCAAGCCAAAATAGTAGCTTAGGGGTTTCGGGGTTTAGGGAGTTCTGCCTGGTAGTTCCATGCGGAACAAGGTTTTGCCACACATGAGGGACATGACAAGCATGTAGGGAGGAAGCTGCCAGTGAGTCAAGAAGGCGGTCACACGGGAGCGGGCGTTTTTTTTTTCTCAGCAGGTTGTGTTTGTGCGCTTTGGGAGATCGCAGGCATCTTTCTGTCAGGTTTCTCCGGTGCCTGCGGAAACTTAAGGTTGGGAACGAGGGACCGAAGACCGGGTCGAAGATGCACGCCCCTACCCTAAAGCCTCACCCGAAATGCGTGCCTCCATTGTGCTCGCCAGGCTTATAGGTATGAACCTCCGGAGTTTCGGCGTTTAGAGTCTAGGGGCAAGCAGACCCTAGGCCCGAACCATGTCTTCAAGAGCATCATGGATGCGATGTTCACCGGCGCCTACATGGACATGTACGATTCCTTCTTCTTGATGGAGCCCTGGGGTGGGTGTAGAGGGGGTTCGGGTTTAGGCCTGCGACTCAGGGCCTAGGGCGTAGGGCATCGGGCTTTCAAGCGTGCTGGAGTTTTTTGGGCTTGGGTGGTCCAAATTTGCTGTGGCAATATGTAGTTATGGCTACACGGGGGGAAACCCCAAGCCCTGAATCTAGTTTCCAAACCCTAAGCTTTATGCCATCTATGCATGAGGACGAAACAAAGTGCAAGCATGCCGGGACATTTCTGCCAGGCTTTGTGGTGACATTGCGTGGCTGCTTCTGAGGTGGTGTTTGATGTTGAGGGTGTAGTAGCATGCCAGGGGCAGGACAGGAGCTGGAGAAAACAGCGGTGGCGACGTCACGGATTCTTTCGAAGGTTTTTCTGCCTTTGGCAGGAGATGGACGCGGTCCCCATTAAGGACTACTGGCTTGACCAGTTCGAGAAGGAGGTGGGTAAGTGGAGGATAGACGAGTCCGAGTTCAGGGCCCCCAAAAAAATCCCAGCGGATTAGGGTTTGGGGCCGGGGGTAAATCGAAGGGTAGCTTCATGGTTTGTGGTCCCGAACCTTCTTTAAAGGGTTCTGGTGTATGGGCCTTTCATTTGTAGAGGGCAGAGAAGGGGTACATCAGGGGCACCCGTTTAAGGGCCCATATTAAGGGACCATGTAACTACGCTAAGAGGAATGAGTTTGACCCCCTTACACCGGCAAAGCCGAAACAGCGTGTGCAGGCCCATGAGGTGGCAGACGGCAACATCGCGATTCGTGGCAGCCAGTACCTGGGCCCCTGGGACCAAGACAAGCGTGCCGAGTCCTTCAGGGGCGGCTTTAAGGAGGGTTGAGGGTTTTGGGTTTAGGGTTTAGGGTTTATAGGGTTTAGGGTTTAGGGTTTAGGGTTTAGGGTTTAGGGTTTGGAGGGGCTTCCGGGTTTTTGGGGGCCTGAGTACCGAGGCGGCTGGCGATCGTAGGGTTTAGGACTCTTCGTCAGGCAGCTGCTCGATTCAGTGGGCTTCCTGTGGGTTCACAGAGCGTTAGTAACCCTCAACCCCACTTCCTTAAGTCTTTTGTAGCGAGGTGACAAGTGGGATCTCTTCAAGCACATGATGCCCAAGTACTTGGTCGATCACATCAACGGCAACGCCATCTACAACTTGAAGCACAGCTGGACACAGCCCCTTTGCCTTTGTAACCCTAAACCCTAAACCCTAAACCCTAAACCCTAAACCCTAAACCCTAAACCCTAAACCCTAAACCCTACACCCTAAACCCTAAACCCTAAACCCTAAACCCTAAACCCTAATGTTTAAAGAACAGTTTGCGGTCACGTTTCTCGTGGGTGGGCTTCCTTTGTAAGAGGGGCAGATGTAGCAGGAGACGCTGAGCACAGCCTTTTTTATACAACCGGCAGCCCCAGTACCATCCTTCATAGAATTGCCACCGGCCTCCTTTCTACCTACCACTTGCTTAAGAACCCGCCCCCAAAAAAACAAGAAAATAAACAAACAAAAAAAACATATTTTCCTAATAAGGGTAAGAAAGGGCCGATTATTCTTCATATTTTTGGGGGGTTCTCTTAAGCAAATAGTGCTACAAGGTACTTGTACAATACCTTCACGAGCAGCGATATGGCCAGCAGCATGATGGAGGATCACGCCTTCGATGTGGCCTTCGTGCCCGGATGCGTTTTAGACTTTCCGTTTGGATTTGGGATTTTCGCCCCTTGTGCTAGCAGTCCTTAATAGGGATTCTGGCGCCCCGATGATAATCCCTATCAAGGCCTGTTAGTTTGAGAGGGAGCATCCCAAACCATCATCCGGTTTAGTAATCCCTGCGGGCTTCTTAGTGTTTGGAGAGAAGTGGGCTCCGTGCAGGGTTGGGTACCCCTTGGCACTTTCAGAGATCAGGATCGCCCTAGCCCAAGCCTTGTTTTCGTGTCGAAGGCCAGAATCTACTGAAGCTAAAAGGGCAGCGTTTTAGATCATGGTCTTTTATTTTTTTTTGGGGAGGGCGGGGGGGGGTTCTATGAGAATATGGAGCCTCCGTTTATTTAGGTACCTCAAGAAGACCCATTTAGAGAAGTACCCGCCCTAAACCCAAAGCACTGGTCAGCCAAATGAGCTGAGAGCGAAGTGGTTTTGGGGTGAGCATGCCCCAGGCCATGATCACCATGCAAGCCATGGCTGGCGTAGAGCCGCTGCTCGACCAGAAGTGGTTGCAGGGATCAGGGTTCGGGGTTTCAGATCTTAGGTGGCGGAATCTCAGGGTTCTGGTTTGTTTTGTGCTGCAGAAAAAGGTTCCCTCCCTACGCCCGAAGGCCTTGAACACTTCAGTGCTTACAACCCCCGAAAGGTTCGCTACAGCCTGGACGGGCGACGCCACGACCTACGACACGAGCACGATGCTGGTGGGCAACTACGTCCCTGCCCTAAATCTTCTGTGTTGCTCTGGGGCTACCCTGAACCTTAAACCCTTCGTATCCCTGACTGCATTCTCAACCCTACACCCCGCGCCCCAAACCCTACAGCGCCTAGTTTACCATCGGGAGCTCAGGCCAACACCCTCCTGAACGAAAGCTACGAGTTTGGGAGCTACATCCGCCACGGCTCGAAGAAGAACATCTTCGAGAACTTGGATGCCGCCCGACCTCGCAAGATCCTGGCTATTGGTTCAGGGTTTTTGTTGTTTCTGGAGGGCTTTCCGTTTTAGGGATTTTGGTGGGGTTTTGAAAGGGTTCTGTAAAGGGGTGTTGTGTTAGGCAAGACACCCAAAGAAACCCTGCAAACGGCTTGCTGGAGGACGATGAGGTCACCCTGGGTGTGGCGTGGTACGACTACCAGGGACACTTCATGGAGACGGCCCGGACCCCCAGAGCTTTTTCGAGCGTCAGAATGTGCGACTTGAAGGTTCGTGTTTTACTTATTTTAACCAACTACATGTAACCCAAATTCTGACCATATCAGGGCACTTCAGGGGCTTATAAGTGAGTTGTAAGTACAGTTACAATTGGTTAGTAAGCACCCTGAACCTCCCAGAAGGGCTTCCTGTTCTCCTACTTCTCGTCTCTTTCGAGTGTCCAGAGTGGAAGGCTCCGTAGAAGAATCAGAAGCCTAAGCCCAAAAAGGGGTCACTGTTTTTTTCGAAAAGTCGCACATGTTTGATCCAGAGAGCTGGCGAGGTGCCAACGCACCACCCCTTCAAGAAGATCCTGGGCATCGCCTACTTCGATCAGGAGATGACCATGGAGGAGATCGTCGCGCCTGGGGGCCGCTGGGATGAGGTTTAGGGTTTAGGGTTTAGGGTTTAGGAAAAAGGGTTTAGGGTTCGGGGATTCAGGGTTTGGGGCCGCTTGGGATGGAGTGTCAATTTCAGGGGCTTCAGGGTTTGGGGTTTCGGGTTTGAGGGGTTTAAGGGTGTGGGGTGTCGGGTTAGGGCTTCAAAGGTTTGGGGTTTCGGGGTTTAGGGTTTAAGGTTTGGGGTTTTGGGCTTTAGAGGACAGCCATCTTCCCAGCAAAACTTACTCACCCGGGGCTTGACATATGATGTAATGCCACACGCAGTGACATTTCACTGTGTTCAAGTCTCGCAGACGTGGGCCGAGGCAACGTCACCCTGAAGAAGCAGAAGGCCACGATGCAGCCATACATGCACCTCTGCGAGATCGCCGGGCTTGTGGACACCGATTGGTTCGTGCGGGCCTTAGAGTCCATCCGCTTTGGGAGCGAGGCGTTCCAAGCCACAACGTCGGTAGCCCTTTTTTAGGGTCTGGGGAGAGGTGTCAGGTGCTCAAAGGAGCGTCGACATCTCAGTATCTGGGCCTTGAGGAGCTCAAACGGTTTTCTTGGAGAAGCCGGCAAACCTAACTCCTCACTCCAGGCGCTCACGGACAACTACCACATCGTCAAGGCGCCTGTGAGCGTGCTCATGGATGAGCCGCTTGGTCACGCGAGCAGTCAGTTTAGGGTTTAGGGTTTAGGGTTTAGCGTTTAGGGTTTAGGGTTTAGCGTTTAGGGTTTAGGGTTTAGGGTTTGGTTTAGGGTTGAGGGTGAGGTGTACATCGGGTTTCCTGTGGCAGTACTACCGCAGGTCTTTGTTGAAAAGCCGGGTCCAGGTTTGCGCACGGCCTTGAGTGTTTAGCTGTGACTTGCTTCAGGGTCAATGCTCTGGCATGGGTTTCCCAACCGAAGCTCTGCAACAAATATAGCCTGAAGCCTGACATTTTGAATCCAAAGCACTGAAAACACTGAATATGGAACCCAGCTTCCCAGGTGGACACCCCGTAAACTACTCCGAGCCCTGCAGACCCAGAACGTGTCCTCTGACCCAAGACCCTCAACCCTGACTGAGTGACGACAAGCCGGTGCTGCCCTACGTCCTGAAGGACTCGAAGTGCGCAAGGGGGAATTGTGGCTTCCTGCTCTGCTTCTTCATGACCCTATAGTTTCGTTAAACTGCTAAACGTCCCCCCCCCCCCCCCTGCGGCCCGAAACCCGACAAGAAGGGTTTGAGGGTGCCAACACCCTCAAGACCCAAAAGCCTTGCGGCAGGTACTGCGGTGAGCGTCCCAACTGCAAGGCTTCCATGGAGCAGGTGGGGAGCCAGTTCTTCCCTCCAACTTTAAATCCTTAGTCTTCTTTTTTTGGGGGGGGGGGGAGGTCAGGGTTTAGGGTTGCTGTAGCATTTAGGCCCTTAGCCTTGGTGTTCGTACCCTGTTCAAAAGTTTCAAAAAGCAAATATCTTCACGGGGGACTCTCGTTCGGAGGTTTTAGGGTTGTTGTGTTAAGGTCTGAATCCGGGGTGACCTCTTGGGGCTTTGCAGGAATGGGCCGATTGACGTCGGCAACCACTTTTCCCACATATTTCGTAGTCGGGCATATCTTTTGCCCCGCTCCATGATAGGAAGCTCTTATCGATTTTGTGGTTCAAACAGGCAGAGGATTTGTTCGGCATTGCCTTGAACTACCACCACGACAAGTACGAGGTGCTGTACAAGACGGATCCCGTGGCTGAAACAGTTGCAGGTCTGGCATCCAATCACTCACAAGCTGTGAAGCCTATTCTGAGATGCCCTCAGTGGACAGGCCCCGAAGCCCGAAGCCCTAAGTACCCAAACTTGCCGAAACCAACCCCCAAAACCCGTTAAACCTTCAGAAGCCAAGGATGATGCCAAGATGTTCTGCGAGGATTGGAACAAGGCTGCCGCAGGAAGGCCTTGGGGTGCCTTGGCGTTCATGATGCCCGAAAGCCAAACCCGTACTAATCTCATTCGTTGTCCTGAGAGTATGAGCAAGAGGAATCAGCATACTCAGACGATCTAAGATGAAGGGTCAGTGTAAGCTTGAGCGTACGAGTAAACGTGAGAGTGAGAGCCAGGGTAGGAGTAAGATGAGGACTGGGAGGAGTAGCAGTCGCAGGAGCAGTAGTAAGAGTAGCAAGAGTAGTAAGAGTACGACGAGTATTTCGGAATAGTATAGTAGCAGTAATAGTAATCGTAATCGTAATCATGATCGTCATCGTCATCGTCAGCGTAATCGTACTAGTACTAGTACTAGTGATAGTAGTTGTACTAGTCATAGTCATAGTCATAGTAATCGCAATAGCAATAGTATTCGTAATAGTAATAGTAATAGTAATAGTCATAGAAATAGTAATAGGAAGAGTAATAGCAATAGTAATAGGAATAGTACTAGTAATAGTAGTAGTTGTAGTAGCAACATAATACGCTTGCGCAATCGTAATGAGATAATAAATGTTCATATGTATGAGTCGTGTGAGGAGCAAGACAAGTAACACTAGTAGCAATGATAAGATATTGAGACTGAGAATGAACATGATAATGCTAGTATGCGATAGTGATCGCCTCGAAAGCCTGGGTCAACCACCCGACATCTGAGACAACTGCAGCATCGCCTTCGGCCCTACGGGAGCTGCCCAGATGCACCGAGGGCACACCCCGTGGCGTTTGGTCGTGTTCAGGATTATAGGATTCAAGGTGTGCTTCACACGTCGAACACTCCGTCCTGTGAGCATGATTCTTGTCTCCCGTGGCAGCTGTTTCCCGATCGGCGCACATCTTGGGGATTAGCAGGAGAGAGTATCTCTGCATGCGCGATGTTTGTTGCTATTCGAGCCGGAGCTTGTCGGGTGTTGAGCAAGGATGACTACATTGCCTGGAAGATCAGCAAAATTGGTGACAAGATTGCAGATGAGTTCACCCCAAAGGACAAGGCAGGTGCTTGGTCATGCTGGGCAATGCGCGTAGCAGTTTCTGTACATAGTCGGCACACCAGAACCACCATCCCGGCGCGGAAGGGGCAGGCAAACCGTACAACAAAGCAACGACACTCGAACCACTGCTGAGGCTACTAGGCCCTCTACGTCGTTTGTAAATCGGACCTTCGGTCCGCACGAAGAGGGAGCTTAAGGACACCAAGGTCATGTCCTGAATTTCGAGAAACGTCGCCCTGAACCCTAAACCTTGCCAAAGGCGGGCCGCGGGCGCCTGAGTAATCGTAGGTTTAAGCAGGGTAGGTTTGGAGTATCTGACCTTGGGGGGAGGCGAACAGCTGTAGCTAGACGTTGAATCTCGGGTTGCTGTAAGTACAACCCCTGCGAAAAAGCGATGTTTCCAACCCTGATTCTGATTGCTCATATGAGCCTTCAAGGGACCCCGGTCCGAGAATTCTCAAAGCCTTACAACCCCAAACCGTCAACACCTCAACACCCTGAGATAAGAGCGCCCTTATAGGGGACCCCTTTGGGGCCCTGAGTTGTGTGCAGACGCGCTATGGCTGGAGAGCCTGGACCAGCTTGTGGAACCCGGCGCCGGTGGACAACCGTATGTGCGACACCACGCTCTACGGCGTGAAGGACAGTAAGCGGGGGGCTTCCCGTTTCAAGGGTGCAGGGTTTAGGGATGTTGAGGGACTAGGGGTTCTAAGGTGTGGTGGGTGCTTGGGATGTATCCTTTGGGGGAAGTTGGGGTTGGGGGGGGTGTGGGATGCCTGGAGCGCGCCCTGCAGGAATACCTGGAGACGCTCGGCAACATCTCTGAATGCGCTGTGAATTATGTTGCTTGGCTGCAAGCTTGACAGGGTGTGAGGCAGCAAGCGTGCGCTGAAAGAGCCTCTTTGGGATCCTGAGAGCAGTACAGCCAGTAACTCCAAGGTGGAGAAGCCAGCTGAGTGCATGGCTGACAGCAAATGCATGTGGAGGTGGAAAGGGGGATTCAGGGTGTGGGCTGAAGTGTTGGAGTATTAGGACTAGGAGTTCAGGTGCCTAACACTCGAACCCGCTCGCCCTAGCTGCCGAGCTTTACTGGTAGCACGTGGAGTTTGCGGGTATTTGGGAACCCACGCAGGCTTGTCGGGGTTTTGGTTTTGGTGTTAGAGTTTGACATGGTTCCGAATCTAACTGCGTGGGTCTGGAGGTTTTGGGTCTGTGTGGGTATGTCCCTTGCAGTCTTGCAGTCGTTTGCAAGTCTGGCGACGCGCATGAATCTTTAAACCCTAAACCCTAAACTGCCGAGAGCGCCGCTGTCCATTTGCATGGGCGCTCGAGGCTTCGACCGAGGTCCCCGACCGAGCGTCTCGACAGAACGGTGAGGGAGGGCAAAGCCTCCCGGTAGACGGGGCCTGCAGTGACTGGCTACGCCTCAGGCCAGGGGCGTAAGCCCTAAAAAATGAGGACCCCAAAACCTGCGACCCCCAACCGTTTTGCTGCCCGTTGAGGGGCCAGTGGGAATTTAGGGCATTACGCTCGAAACCCTAAAAGCAGAAAAGTTGGGTGGATGCCTGCGTAAGCAGGGGGTGGGAAAAATAGAACAACCCTACCTTTGTGGTTGTGATGGGTCCAAATAAAATATACGCCACTGCAATTTGTGGCGAGAAGCCCTAAACCCTAAACCCTAAACCCTAAACCCTAAACCCTAAACCCTAAACCCTATAGTTTAGGGGGTAGCGAGAGATTTGCTGATCGCGGACAGCTCCGCCTTGACAGGGCAGTAGGGAACTTTGCGATGCACTGTGACAGGCCATGGTCAGTTTAGTTACCCTCGACCCTAAACCCTAAACCCTAAACCCTAAACCCTAAACCCTAAGCCCTAAGCCCTAAGCCCTAAGCCCTAAGCCCTCTTTTCAGTATAGTATTAAAGCCCTATGGTCTTCGTGGGCAATGGTCATTGTTCGTGGGCAATGGTCATTTTTCGTGGGCAAAGGTCATTTCTTCGTGGGCCATGGCCATTTTTGTGGGCAATGGTCGTTTCTTCGTGGGCAATGGTCATCTTTCGTGGGCAATGGTCACTTCTTCGTGGGCAATGGCCATTTTTCGTGGGCAATGGTCATCTTTCGTGGGCAATGGTCATTTCTTCGTGGGTAATGGTCATCTTTCGTGGGCAATGGTCATTTCTTCGTGGGTAATGGTCATTTTTCGTGGGCAATGGTCATTTCTTCGTGGCGCAATGGTGATTTTCGTGGGCAATGGTCATCTTTCGTGGGCAATGGTCATTTTTCGTGGGCAATGGTCATTTTTCGTCTGCAATGGTCATTTCTTCGTGGGCAATGGTCATTTTCGTGGGCAATGGTCACCGGAAAGTGGTCGCGGGCCTTGGGCTTTAGGATTTGGGGGCTACCGGGCAGTTCCGCAATTACCCTTTATGAAACTATATGTTCGGATGTGGTGGGATTCTTTGGGCGGGTGGGTGTTGGTCGAGAGAATGGCTAGACGAGACTCTTCATGCTCAGAACTGCTCAACCCTAAACGCTAAACCCTAAACCCTAAACCTTAAACCTTATACCCTAAACCCTAAACCCGAAACCCTAAACCCTAAACCCTAAACCCCAAACCCTAGACCCTAAACCCTGCCAGGCCAATGTTCGAGTCCGGCGTCTGCCTGCTGGACCCAGCGAGCGGAGCGCTGAGACCCCAAATCCTGAAGCCCAAAACCACAAACTCCTAAGCTCTGCACCCCAAATGGGGGTTTACGAACAATAGGGGTCTCCTAAAATAGACCCCCCAAATAGCAGGCTTCCTTGTGGTACCCTTAATGTTGGAAACGGACAAACTCCCAAGGGTTCCCACAAACCACTCCGGCCGCAAGGGTTCCGTGAGGACTTCGGGTCGTAGGACGCTTAGGGTCTTAAAGGTTACTTTGTGGTACTTTACTGCAGTTTTAGATCCTTAGCCTTTTTGGGTTTATTGTGTTTCTGAATAAGGCAGCTAAGAATTTAATGTATAGCGGCCCTTCTCAGTGCAGCCAAGGTTAGTAGGGGATACGACCTTCGGAGAGACGGTTCAAGTTCATGCCATGGCCTTTGCTGAACAGACCGAGCAAAGACGACTCTTCCCTCAACCCCCAAGAGGCCCCTCAAACCCACAGCTCCCCAGGCTTGCATCACAAGAGTGGGATGGACATGGAAGTCAAAACAGGACCCTAAACCCTAAACCCCAAACCCCAAACCCCAAACCCCAAACCCTAAACCCTAAACCCTAAACCCTAAACCCTAAACCTCTTGGGGGTTTTGGGGCTTGTTGCGCTTCGGGGGGTTGAAGGGGCCGAAACCCCTGAGCCTGCAAAGGCTTCACGCCGGAGACCACGGCATCCCTGGCCAAAGTTCAGCCCCTTTAGGGTTTAGGGTTTAGGGTTTAGGGTTCAGGGTTTAGGGTTTAGGGTTCCTGAAAGCCTTGAACCTGAAAGCCCCAACCCTGAACCCGAAAAAGGCTGAACCCACCATGAAGAAGCCTAAAAGGATATCATCAACCCTCAGCCCGCCGCGAACCACAGGGGGAGGGATATCATAGACCCTGAGCCCTCAACCCTAAACCCTAAACCCTAAACCCTAAACCCTAAACCCTCAACCCTGAACCCTGAACCCTAAACCCTAAACCCTCAACCCTAACCCCACCGTGAACCAGTGGGGGGCAGAGCGAGAACTCCAGCCCTGCAGCCTACGCGCTGAGCCTTAAACCCTAAGCAAACAACTTAGATATCATAAACCCTAAGCTCGAAACCCTTATGAAGGGGGCAGAGTGAAGACCCTAATCCTGTGCTGTTTTTTGCATATTTTTGTGTGTTCTTCATTTTCAGTTTGGGTTTAAGGTTGAAAGCTCCCACAATGCGGGGAGCTACTTTACACTCGCTAGCCGCTAGCCAGGGCTAGGGAAGCCGCCACAACTGAGAACCTTTTGGCTGGTAAGCTAGGAATTTAGGCTTATGGGTTTGGGGTTTAGGGCCTTGGGGTTTAGGATTTCGGGGTTCGGGTTTAGGGTTTAGGACTTAGGATTTACGGGCTTATGGGTTCAGGTTTGGGCCGGCCGCGCCTCCTTGGCTTAGATGGTTGGATGTCATGAACAGGTTCATGAGCCAGAACCCGGATGCAACCAGAACTCCACGAAGCCCTTTGTGCCAGTTTCCCATAAACCCTAAACCCTCAAACCCACCAGCCCTCAACTTCCAGAGCTAGAATCCTAAACCGAAGCTCAGAATCCAAGGTGATGGCGCGGGCCCGAGATGTGTTGCTTTTCGAGGGTTTCGACAGTTCCAGGGCTTCGAGGCAGAAAGTGTCCGCCATCCGCCTCGGTCGTTTTGTCGACTTTTTGAAGCCCAAAACCCTAAACCCTAAACCCTAAACCCTACACCCTAAACCCTATATAAACCCTAAACCCTGAACCCTAAACCTCTCCTGAGGGAGCCATCTACAGCGTCGTGGAAGTCATGCTGCCCATGGAAGTGGAGGACGTGGATGCCGTCGTCAACAACGCCGGGGGGCCCAAGAAGGCCAAGGAGGCAAATTCTTATGGGGTTCTTAAGGGAGGGGGTTTAGGGTTTAGGGTTTGGGGTTTAGGGTTCAGGGTTTTGGGTTTAGGGTTCAGGGTTTTGGGTTTAGGGTTTAGGGTTTGGGGTTTAGGGTTTGGGGTTTAGGGTTTGGGGTTTAGGGTTGAGGGTTCATGGGGAGGTAGGTACCTAGGGAGCCTTCGGGAAGCTTCGGGAGCCTCAGGGAGTAGTGGGAAGTGGTGGGGAACCTTAGGTTACATGCCCCCTCGAACCCCCCGCCCTCGAAGTTCCCCATCCTCATCCTTGGGATGTTTCCCTCCTGGTGCTAGCAGTCCTTTAATTGGGGATCATAGTAGGGGGTTACTTTCCCAACCTCAGCCCTAAACCCTAAACCCTAAACCCTAAACCCTAAACCCTACACCCTAAACCCTAAACCCTAAACCCTAAACCCTAAACCCTGAACCCTGAACCCTGAGCCCTAAACCCTAAACCCTGCTTATTGTTGAGGATGAGTGTTGGTTCGAACTGCTTGCCGGAACTGGGCCAAGGTCGGCTTGACCACTTCCATGAGGTCCGCAGGGGCTTTGGGATGTTTGGGATGTTCCTCCTTCCACCTAACAGTCCTTAACAGGGAGGGTTTAGGGTTTAGGGTTTAGGGTTTAGGGTTTAGGGTTTAGGGTTTAGGGTTTAGGGGGATTGCAGTAGCCCCTAGGACAATCCCTATGAAGGACTGTTCACATGAGCGCGGGCAGCATCCCAGGTTGGGAACATTGGGGGCTGCTGTTTATGGGGTTAGGGTTGAGGGTTTAGGGTTTAGGGCTTAGGTTTTTTTTGCAGACACTGTGGAGTTCACCTCCATGATTTTCGAAGCCTTTCTGCAGAAGAGCCCCCCACTCAGGGGCTCATTCGAGTGGAACCACGGGGATCGAAGACAGAAGAAATCTGATGTCAGCTTCTTCGATTTCAAAATTTCAGCTGTGTTGGTGCACGGCATGGCACGGCTTAGGGGGTTTGGGGTTGCGGCAGGCAGTCCTTCGCAGACTTGGTGGGCACGGACCTGGATGCTCGGCTGCGATGGGGCTCCGGGTTCTGAGTCCTTCGGCTTCCTACCCCCCAAAAACAGCCTCGGGTTTAGGGCTCCGAGCCCACAAAGCCCCCGAAACCTCCCAAAGATCTGAATCTCCAGGGCCGGACCGAATGCTAGCCGCGCCAGTTCATCTCGTTCTCGACATCGGCTGCCCTCATTCCTGGGAGGGTATTCTACATTAAGGACACTTGAAATTTTTGGGCAGCTGCAAAGCGCAGTCCTCCCGCATTTTTTTTTGCAATATTCCTCTTCCCCCTCTCCTCCCTCTCCCCCCCTCCCCCAGCTTTCCGAGCCTTCCGAGGAAAAGGTGGTTCTGACCTTCGACACAGGAGACCGGCGCCTGAGCGCCTCCCTCCGGAGGGCGGCCACGACCCTCATCGCGCCCGGGCTCCCGGACCCGGGATGGGAGGCGGAGTGTTGTTTGTTGTTTTTGTTTTTCATATTCTTCCCTTTTTTTTCTGGGAGTTTGGGGGATTTTGGGGGCTGATTAGGCATTCAGGCAGGGGTTTAGGGTTGAGGGGTTCAGGGCTGAAGCGTTGAAGGTTGGGGACAGAGGCTTTAAACATCTCACATTGCAGGTTGAGGACAGAGGCCTTAACCATCTCGCAGGGGGGGGGGGGGGCTGTTCGGGTACCGTCCTTGTGAGAGCACCCTCCACAAGAGCCCCATAGAGGACCCTCAGAAAGGACCCCATAGTTTGGATCCACCCTGGACCTGGACAAGGATCGCTTGATTTTTCCCAACCCCCTTCTAAGGAAGCCCCCTCCCCCTCCAGAACAGAGAGCTCTACCCTAAACCCTAAACCCTAAACCCTAAACCCTAAACCCTAAACCCTAAACCCTAAACCCGAAACCCTAAACAGAGCTCCACTGTGAACCCTTGACCTCACCACCTGGTCTATTCTCGGGGTGCCGGCCCTAGGATCTTCACCGTGACGCTTGAAACCGTGGCCGATGCCGAGCAGACACTCGGGCGGGCGTTTGGATTTCTGTAGGTTTGGGGCTTGGGGTTTGGGGTTTAGGGTTTAGGGTTTAGGGTTTAGGGTTTGGGGTTTAGGGTTTAGGGTTTAGGGTAGGTTTGGGGTTTAGGCTCAGGGCTTAGTGGGTTTCCAATCGTTTCAGGTGCCCTGAACCCTCGGAAGCCCTAGCTCTTGTTAGAAGGAGCCCTGAGAGGAACTCCCTCCCAACACATTTGACCGTCTAAGTGTTCCAGGACCATCTTAACCCCTCAACCCCTAAGCCCCTAAAGGCCCTGAACCCTGAACTCTAAGCCCCTAAGCCCTGCACCCTTAATGGTGAGCCCGAAACCCTAAACCCAAAAACCCGAAGCCCTAAACCCTAAACCCTAAACCCTAAACCCTAAACCCTAAACCCTAATCCCTAAACCCGAATCCCTAAACCCTAAACCCTAAACCAGGTCTGAAACCCCTAGACCCCTGCAAGCCTTGACCCCCGAAATCCCGAGACCCTGAGTTGAAGGGCGCTGAACCACAGGGCTCCGAGCTCGGAGTGCAGGTAACTTGGGGATTTAGGGGTTTAGGGGTTTTGGGGGTTTAGGGCTTTTAGGGGTTTTAGGGTCTTTAGGGGTTTTAGGGTCTTTAGGGGTTTAGGGGTCTAGGGGCCGAGGGCTTACCCTCAGCCCTACAACACTCAGCCCCAAGCCTCAAGCCGTAAGCCTTGGGCTCTGTGTTTTTTTTTTTTTTTTGGGGGGGGGGGGGGGGCAGGGCTTGGTGTCTGTCCTCTGGGTTTGCGCTGGATGGGCTCAGTCCCAGAGACTGATTCGCGAGGACCCTGAACCCAACCCTCCCCTGGAAAAATAGCCCAACACTCAACCCTTCCTTAGCTTTCTTCTAGCTGGCTCTGAGAACTTTCACTTTTTGGTTTTTGTAAAAACTACAATAAGGAGCCCAAAAGTTAAACTTTTAGGAGGGTTCAGATTGCCAAATTTCCCCACAAGGACACAAGTTGACATTGAGACCCTGTCGCTGGAAGAGACGCAACAGGCCAGGTCCATGGGTTCGAGTGCCGATCTCGAGAACCTCATGGGCTTATGGCCCAAACCCTACACCCTGCATCCTACACCCTAAGCCCTAAACCCTAAGCCCTAAACCCTAAACCCTAAACCCTAAAACTCCTCGCATGTTCGTCCTCGTAACACGCAAGCAGATCAGCCACCCTGGCTCTAAGCTTATTCTCTTCCCAAGTGCCTGCTCAGAATCAGACCATCTTGTCTTATGTACGGGTTTACGGTCATAAGTGGCCCCTAAAATAGACCCCACAATAGTAGGCTCCCCTGCAAATAAGTACCCCAATAAATTACCCGTATTTTCGTACACCCCCAGTGTGTCTTCATTTTTCTTCGCATGAACATCAGCTTCCAGCTGCTTTGCCATGTCCTACAACCCTCTCTGACCCAGCAACAGTTTCATCCCCCCTCCCCCCAGTACTTACTCCCCCCCCCCCCCCCCCCCCCCCCCCCCCCTCCCCCCCCCGCCCCCCCCCCCCATATACTCCATGATAACTATAGTGGGAGTATTGAATATTAGGGGGTAGGGGGGGTTCAATATTCGGGGGAGGGGATTACATTGCGGTGCAGCTGAGGGTGAACGCGTGACAACGCCCTTCATCTCCAGGTTGAGGTGAATGTGAAATCGCGATAGTTCGTGGTTTGGCGTTTAGGGGGTGGCGAACTACCCTAAACCCTAAACCCTAAACCCCTAAACCCCTAAACCTCTAAGCCCCTAAGCCCCTAAACCCTAAAACCCTAGACCCTAAACCCGAAGTCCGAAGCCGTGGGCTTATGAAAAGGAGCCTAAACCCTAAACCCTAAACCCTAAACCCTAAACCCTAAACCCTAAACCCTAAACCCTAAACCCTAAACCCTAAACCCTAAACCCTAAACCCTAAACCCTAAACCCTAAACCCTAAACCCTAAACCCTAAACCCTAAACCCTAAACCCTAAACCCTAAACCCTAAACCCTAAACCCTACACCCTAAACCCTAAACGCTAAACCCTAAACCCTAAACAACCCTAAACCCTAAACCCCAAACCCTAACAGGTTTCTGGTTTTACGGTTTTAGGGTGTTAGGTTTGATGAGGGTTTAGGGTTGCCCGGCCAAACGCCCCTTCAACCTCAAAACCATGCGAACTTTGTAAGCCGACGCGCCCTGAGACCCCCAAGCCATAGAACCGCTAACCCTCTCCCCCAACAGCGGCAAGGCCATCAACACGGCCATCGCGGACCGGGCAGGGTTCAACCTATGGGTCCTTTCAAAGGTTTCGGTTTCGGGGGGGGGGGGGGGGGGGGGGGGGGGTGGGGGGGTTTCTCCCAGAAAGGCATCGATGCCCCCTTTAAAGAACTACAGCAGCCGACGCAGCTGCAGAAGAATGTGACGCTCCTTTAGGACAAGATGAAGAAGGGTTTAGGGTTTAGGGATGTTTAGGGTTTAGGGTTCAGGGTTTAGGGTGGCTACCGTCGCCATCGCCCAATCGTTGCCACCTCGTCGGAATTCTCAGCTGAGGCATAGGTATTCAACCAATTCTCTACAGCAACCTACTGTTCTTCCTCGTACAAGAGAAGGAACCCTAAACCCGAAATTCCTGAGCCCTATGCCCTAAACCCTAAACCCCAAACCCAAAAGTCTAAGCCGTAAACTCCCCCCAAAACCTGAAACCCCCAAAACCTTAAGCCCCCCAAAACCTTTAAGCCCCCCAAAACCTTAAAAGCCCCCCAAAACCTTAAAAGCCACCCAAAACCTCAAAAGCCCCCCAAGACCTTGAAGGCCCCCCCCACAACCTTACAAAACCTTGAAAAGCCAAAAAAACCTTCAGCCCCGTAAAACCTCAAAGCCCCCTCAAAACCTTAAACCCCCAGCCCCAAAAGCCGCCATGGACCTCAGCCTCTCAGCCTCTCAGCCTCTCAGCCTCTCGGCCTCTCAGCCTCTCAGCCTCTCAGCCTCTCAGCCTCTCAGCCTCTCAGCCCCTCAGCCCCTCAGCAGCCTCTCAGCCTTTCAGCAGCCTCTCAGCAGCCTCTCAGCCTCTCAGCCTCTCCGCAGCCTCTCAGCCTCTCAGCCTCTCAGCCTCTCAGCAGCCTCTCAGCAGCCTCTCAGCCGCCTCTCAGCCTCTTAGCCTCTCAGCCAGCAGCCTCTCAGCCTCTCAGCAGCCTTTCAGCAGCCTCTCAGCAGCAGCCTCTGAGCACGCTCCAGCTTCTCAGCAGCTTGTCAGCAGCTTCTCAGCAGCTTCTCAGCCGCTTCTCAGCCTCTCAGCCGCCTCTCAGCCGCCTCTCAGCAGCCTCTCAGCTCTCGGCAACCTCTCAGCAGCCTCTTGGTCTCTCAGCAGCCTCTCAGCAGCTTGTCAGCAGCCTGTCAGCAGCTTCTCAAGCAGCCTCTCAGGCAGCCTCTCAGCAGCCTCTCAGCAGCCTCTCAGTAGCCTCTCTCTCAGCAGCCTCTCTCTCAGCAGCCTCTCAGCAGCCTCGCAGCAGCCTCGCAGCTTCTCTCCCAGCCTCTCAGCCTCTCAGACTCTCAGGACTCAGGCTTCACCGGAACCGTGAAGGCCGGCTTTGGTGCTGGTATTGGGGTTTAGGGTTTATGTTTTTTTAGGGTTTAGGGTTAGGGTTTTAGGGTTTGGGGTTTTAGGGTTTGGTGTTGAAGCAAAGGGTTTGGGGTTCAGGGTTCAGGGTTAAGCCCCACAAGCCCTAAAGGTTTTTTTTTTGGGGGGGGTGGGGGGGTGGGGGCTAGGGTTTCTGGGTTTTAAGCTTGTAATCGGACCTTCAAAATGAAGGGACCCTTTAACCCAGGCACTCAACCCTAAACCCGAAACCCGCACTCCGAAGCCCCAAACCCTGAACCCCAAACCCCAAGACCCCGAAACCCCAAACCCCAAGCCCCCAACAAGAGCCCCCCCCCCCACGCTTCAAGCCCCAGAACCTTAAACCCCAAACCCCAAACCCCAAACCCCAAACCCTAAACCCTAAACCCTAAACCCTAAACCCTAAACCCTAAACCCTAAACCCTAAACCCTAAACCCTAAACCCTAAACCCTAAACCCTAAACCCTAAACCCCTAAACCCCTAAACCCCTAAACCCCGAAAACCTAACTCGGGGCGAAGAGGTGACTGGCAAGTCGACCATGCTGATCCCAGTCCTGATCCCAGGAGATGCTGGTTTAGGGTTGTTTAGGGTTCAGGGTCATTTAGTCGGTTTAGGGTTTAGGGTTTAGGGTTTAGGGCTAGGGTTTAGGGTGAGGGTTTAGATCCAGAAGGGTGGCTTTTGAGTCGTAAGAGTCATGATTGCACAGCCGATCCCTGCTTACCCGTGAACTTCCAGCGAAGATCAGACTTCCCATCGGCTTCTGCCTTGCGGATGGGGGGGTTTCGGGTCTTGTGCTAAGCCCTAAGCCCTAAGCCCTAAGCCCTAAGCCCTAAGCCCTAAGCCCTAAGCCCTAAGCCCTAAACCCCCTAAACCCTAAACCCCCCTACGCCCTGAAACCCGGCTGGAAGCACCTGGAGTTTCCAATGAGGCTCCCACCACCACCACCACGACCTCCACGGCAGCACCGGTCAGAAGCCCAGAGGGCAACTTTGTGTTTAGGGTTTCGGGTTTAGGGTTTAGGGTTTGGGGTTTAGGGTTTGGGGTTTAGGGTTTAGGGGTTTAGGGGTTTAGGGTTTAGGGTTTAGGGTTTAGGGCTTCGGGTTCAGGCTTTAGGGTTGGTTTAGGGTTTCAGGGGCACCACCTCCAGAAAAAACTGACCACATCGGTGTGTGCGTGCTCCTTGGACAGAGGATGCAGTTGAGAGAGCCCCAACCCCGAGCGGCCTGTGTCCCGCTAAGACCACGACGGAGGACGCCAGGGCCCAAGAGAGGCTTTGGGCGTGGGGTAGGGGCCAGAGCGCGGGGCTTGGGGTTCAGGGCTTTGAGGGTTTCAGGGTTTAGGGGTTGAAGGGTTTCGGGGTTTGAGGGCAAAAGGGGAGAATGAGATGAGGATGTAGGGGTGTTAAGTTGTAGGGGTGTGCGGTTAAAGGGTTCAAGGGGGGTAGGGTTGGGGAAGACTACACAGCAAGCAGGGGTTCTTGCTATGAACAAAGGGGCGTCCATAGTTCGAATTTTTGAGCACCAGTTCATGTGTGACGCACCAGCCCCCCCCTCCACCCCACCGCCCCACCAAACACCCTAATCCCCAAACAGTCCCAGACCCCAAACCCGAAGCCTGCACAACTCTTGAAGCCTGCAGCTTTTGTCCAAGGACATGGAAGACAACATGACCACCACCACAACGACTGCGGTCTGGGGCTCGAGATGTGAGCGTGTCAAGGGGTCCTTCTATATGCAAACAGTAAATGGGCCCAAAACAAGTAAACGATAACCAATACATGTGTGTGTAGATAGATAGATAGATAGATAGATAGATAGATAGATAGATAGATAGATAGATAGATAGATAGATAGATAGATAGATAGATAGATAGATAGATGTATATATAACACACACACACACACACATATATATATATATATATATATATGTATGTGTATATACATACTGATGTACACAGATCGATAAAGTTTGGGGTGAGTATTTATATTGGATGCCCTTAGGCGGCATACCCATAGTAAGGAACCTACCTCAATACGCGACATGCGAGAGGTGAGGAGTTTCTTGCACATGGCTCAGGGGTTCAGCGCCATGGCAAGGTTTTCCGGGCCATTTGTGAACCTGCACTGGGCTCCGCACAAAGCCCCACACGCCATGTGAGTACCTCACGTGAAACAGGCCACGCGAGTCGTCGAAAGGTGTCTCCGTGCGTTCGGGTAGAAGTCTGCCTCTTGCATGAACTGCACGTTGAATTTTCTACGCGCCCGCCTGCGAAATTTCACGCACCTCCCTTCTTCTCATCACCCCGAGACCCCTCCAAAAACTTGAGCCCTAGAAGCCAGTCTACTGCCCCAAATTGGGCGGCACTTACCATTCATGGGGATGGAGGTAAAGCAGCCACCCTAAGGCAGCTCGGCAGTCAGTTCAGTGGCAGCCTGAGTTTTTTGTTGCTCGAGGCCCTCCCGCAGCCGAGCTTCGCAAAGCATTTCGGCAGGCCGGGTGTGGTTTTTGGAGTTCCGTGCGGTCATAGGAGCTATTCTACTTGCGGGTTCCCTAAACCCTAAACCCTAAACCCTAAACCCTAAACCCTAAACCCTAAACCCTAAACCCTAAACCCTAAACCCTAAACCCTAAACCCTAAACCCTTGTGTAGAAGCCGTTGAAGCAATACATCCCTTCTTTGGGATGGGGCCCCCCGATACAGACCGAGACCTTCGACACCAACCCCCGTCAGCGGATGCACAAAATCCCTGAGCCCCGAAACATCCCAAAACCACAAGGACCACAAATGTCTGCCCAGCTGTCTCACTGCTTATGGGGACTAAATCCTAAATCCTAAACCCTAAACCCTAAACCCTAAACCCTAAACCCTAAACCCTAAACCCTAAATCCTAAACCCTACACCCTACACCCTAAACCCTAAACCCTAAACCCTAAGCCTAAACCCTAAGCTTTCAGTTTCTCCGCGCTGGCGGCTGTGCTGGCGTCTGCCCTCCTGAGCTGAGACCGCGGAAAGGCAAGTTTAGGGTTCAGGGTTTAGGGTTTAGGGGGGGCTGCGGATTCAGGGTAAAAGAAATGGGGGGTCGGGTTGCGAAGATGGTTTAGGGTGAGGAGTGTTGGGGACGCTGGGGTTCGTGTTTCGAAACTTTCGGGGGGCTCAGGTCCTCTCGGGTTTCAGGGTGTTTTGTGCTTTCAAGCTCTTGCGCGCAGTCTCAAGGCTTGGAGTTTGGGGTTGAGGGGTGAGAACCCAAGTTCTACGGCCTAATCTCGGACATGCCCAGGTACAAGCCCGCATACCCTGAGAGCCGCTTCTATATCGGAAGAACTCCCCCCCGTCCTTTAAGCCGAAGAGTCAATACTCCGACTGTAGTCTATCGGTTTCTGACTTCATACCAACAGGACCCGAAGCAGTAAGCCCTTTAGAGTGTGGGCTGTGTGAACAAAGCATCGCCTGGAAGCCCAGAAGCCCTGAAGCTCTGGAGAACCTTGCACGCTGGAAGTTTTGTTTTTTTGTTTTTTCTCCGGGTTAGGGCCATTTCTACTATTTGCTTCAGAACCCCACAGAAAATATCCTTCCTTGTAAGGGCAATAAAGGTTACTGCTTTGTTGGGGGGTGGTTCTTAAGCAAATAGTCGGCTAGGGTTGAGGGTTTAGGGTTGAGGGTTTGGGAACCCAGGATCCTCAGTGAGCAAGTGCTGTGCACTTCCCCAGGTCGTGCAATCTGGCGCCCCATGAGAGGGTGCCAAGCTTAGCTAGCTTTGCTGCAGCACACGTTATCGCGGTCTTGGTGGTGGGCCACCCTATGCGTTTGTTTGGGTCACAAGATAGGGGTCCCTTCATATACCCCGAAGCATGCAAAGGACTCCTGTAAGAACTGGGGGGGTACCCCCGATGGTGAGAAGCTTCGGATGCATGCTTGCTGGGGTTTAGGGATGTATGGGTCTGAGCCCCCTAAGCCCCAAACTCCTGAACCTAACCTCCCAAAACCCAAGCCCTAAGGCCCTAAACTCCTAAGCCCCAAACTGGCCCAAACTCCTACACCCTGAGCCCTAAACTCCTAACACCCCAAGCCCTAAACTCCTAAACCCTTTGGTGCCGCAGGGACTTCGGGTTCGGATCCAACCGCCAAGTCACGAGGGTTTGCAGGGCTTTTCATAGGGTTTAGGGTTTATATATGGGGTTTTCAGAGGTTACAGGGTTTACAGGTTTTATAGGGCTTACAGGGGTTTATAAGGTTTGCAGCTTTTCGATAGGGTTTGTAGGGTTTGCAGGGTTTAGAGGGCTTATCGGGTTTATATAGTTTATAGGCAGCTGGAGTTCTTGGGAAAGCGCCTCGTGTTTTCAGAGCCATGCTGCAGAAGCCAAGCGAGCCGAAAACATCACGAGCTCCAGGCATGTAAGCTCACGACCTCGACTTGAAGCAACCTTCGGCAATTCCGTAAATCCTGAACCCTGAGGCACAAATTAAAGGAGTCGCCTCTACAAGGGACCTTCGGGGTTATTTGGGGGGTTGTTTGGGGGCTACTTAGGCATATGGGGACTACACTTTCGGGTACTTGCGACAACCAAGCGATGATGAAGTCCGTCTTGGGCTGCCCGCCACACTGCTCCGCAACGAACAGGCCAGCCGATCCCGGCAACGGCTTGACAGGTAGCCCACAGACACCCTCAGCTGCGTACTCAGATGTTGGCTCAGTCAGGTTCATGATACTTATGAACCAATGATAACTGCACTTCTAACCTAAATCATATTGGGGGAGAATGTACTCCGGTTGGCTGAGATGGAAAACTAAGCACAGCTTCACTTTGGTGGCATCGGGCGGAAGTGTAGAGAAACTCGTCCCATCGTGACCGTTCAGCCCAACGAGATGTTAAAAGGAATTCTGTGGTCGTGCCTTTGTTTAGAAAACCAACCTTGACTTGAGCCCCGAACCATTAAAGCCCCTAACTCATCTCTCCTATTCTGCAGCTGCGCCTCCGGGGTACCTCTGGGCAGCTTTCACTCATTTTTGTACGAGCTTCTTCGCGTTTCACCGAAGTCGACCATGCGAGTGATGTTACGAGCACGAGAATCGTCTGCTCAGAACCACGAGGGCATATGCCAAGGACCGGGAAAGTCGGTTGCTCAGGAAACCCTAAATCCTACACTCCATGCACCCTCTGACCCACTTCCTTGGCTTAAGCAAGCACTCGATTAGAGTGCAGGGTCGCTGTACGAATGCAGAGCTTATGTTGCATGGTTCCTGCTGCTCCAGTTTGGATTTGCTGGCGTGCTAGCTGAGACCGAAGTGTTCCTGCTACGTGCCAGCAACTTTCAAGGTCACTTCCACACTCCTCGATGCCTGCGCAGTAATTGTAGGGTGCTGACGTCTCGATATGTCACATATATATATATATACCTATATATATATATATATATATAGAGCTCAGGGCTCAAGATCATGGTGAGGATACCATGAGGAGTGGACGTGTTTCGTGGCATCGTGGCCGGATGCTTTTGCAGCCACGGGGCCGCCTCAGGCATGACGGGTCGCAGTCACCATGCCGCCATGGATCGCAGTTTCTTGGGGCCGCTTCACCACACTGCAGTTGCTCGTCTGTGCATCTGTCGCCCGCGGCACATATAGGACCTGTAAGCAGAGGAATATGACATGTTCTGCCGCGGTTTGGAGCAACCCAAAACCCGCTAGTTCTAAGCTTGGTAGGTAGATTGCTATGAGACTTCACAAGTCCATGTCGGCCTGGTGGACACATTGGAGGCGTGCGTGCGGACGCGAGACCTTCTGTGTGCCGAAACCCAAGCCTCCGATATCACGAAACGCACAAGCCGTAGCTTCGGTGTGGTGATGAATGAGTTGTTGCTAAAGCTGGCACAGTAGTACCAAATACAGCGGCATGAATGGGAGGAAGATGGCCACAGAAGGCGTCTCGGATCTTCGCATCGTCCTGCGCCCGTGCACAACGAAAGAGCAGCACAGACAGCGTGGACCACGGCGCTGCCAGGACAACTAAAGAGGCGTGCGCGGCGTGCCCCCCCCTCCACTCCACGGCCCTCCCCCCCTGGATTTCAGGATGCTTGTTGTTGACATGGCTTTGGTGCGGCTGAGCAAGGGATCCAGGATCGGAAATACTTGCTGAGGGTGACAATCCTCATGCCCCTTGAACCTCGCCACGATCAAGACGATGACGATCAGTCTCATGTAGTATTACGGCTGAGTCTCCGGGTTTCTCAGTGTTGCTGAGTTTGTAGGCTTGCTCAGATGGCCTCCCCTGCCGAGTGGGCTGCCTGGGTTTTCACTCATTCCTCAGCCGCAGCTACTATTTTCAACTCACGTTGTTCGTGTCAAATCTACAACTACCCGCCTTCAAGGGCTACTGTGGCTTGGCAGAATCTGCTCTGCCTTGACTGGTTGTGTGTGTGAGAGGTATAGTTGCAAACTGGAAGAAGCTGCACACCCACACTGGCATCAGCTCACATCGACCCCACATCTCCCCTGCGCCCCCAGTTGATCTCAAAAGCCTCTGTGCTTTCCTGGATGCATGTAAACCCAAAACCAGCCCAGGCGTCATGGCTTTTCGACGCATCGCTCTTGTGCTGCTGGCAGCCACGGCATCTTGGTTTACGCCCGAATCATTCCCTTAGCTCGCAGCCCCGAGCTGCTGTACAGCCTAAAGAAGAATATACGAAACCTTCTGGAACAGAGAGATCCCCCTCCAAAAAAGAACTCAATAAATACAGCCTTCGCCAGATGTCCTCTGCCCTTGAAGAAGAGAACCCCCCCCCCCCCCCAAAACACAAAAAAAACAAACAGAGAAACAACCGAAACCTGAAGGCACTGGGCCGTCGCGTGTCCGATGAAGACCAGTTGGTGGCAGGTGCCGAGGAGCGTGATCCCTGTTCCAAGCGGGTGCTTTGAGTGTTCATGAGTACGATACTAGGTAGGCCCTTGGGACATTTGAATATTTTCCCTTATTGGGTTTTTGAGAGGATCATATTCAGGAACCTGTTTCAGAGGGTTTTAGTGGCCATCCCGGGATAAAGTATCATGTCGCCCGGCTACGACTGGATGTCAGAAACCTCTCCAGCCATCTGCGAGCGAGGATCCCGACGTGCCGGAGACCCCCACGGAGACGCCTGCGGAGGTGCCCTGCGACCCTAAACCCTAAACCCTAAACCCTAAACCCTAAACCCTAAACCCTAAACCCTAAACCCTAAACCCTAAACCCTAAACCCTAAACCCTAAACCCCAAACCCTAAGCCCTAAACCCTAAAGCCTAAATCCGTAGACTCTTGGTGCACGAATCGATTGCCAAGGGTGGGTGTTCTGCAGCCGCTTCATCCCAAGAGCCCCGAGGGTTTAAGCCCTAAACCCTAAACCCCTAACCCCTGAACCCCTGAACCCCTAAACCCCTAAACCCCTAAACCCCAAAACCCCTAAACCCCTAAACCCCTAAACCCCTAAACCCCTAAACCCCTAAACCCCTAAACCCTAAACCCTAAACCCTAAACCCGAAACATCCTGCAACTTTCCGACACATCCCGAAGCCTGATTGATCGTCTTCAGGGCCTTTCACCCCCAAATGCAGGAGCCTTGAGACTTGCCAATGTCGTGACCTCACGATTTTCAAGGGTTTAGGGTTTAGGGTTTAGGGTGCATACTACCAAGCATGCCCACTACAGTTGCAGTTGAATTAGGCCCTCCTAAACCTGAAACCCTGAGTCCCCCCCAAAAAAACAAAACAAAACAAATAAATATAGACATATATAAACACATAAAGAAATATAAATATAAACATATATATATATATACATATATATATATAAAGCACCAAAAAAGAACAAATGAAACAACCCTAAACTCTCAACCCGAAGGCACCAAACACCCTCAGCCCTGATGGGAGGAATCTGGGCCAGCCTTTCAGGCCGGAAAGTTCTCAAGAGGGTTCAGGGTGTAGGGTTTAGGGTTCAGGGTTCAGAGGGTTGAGGGTTCAGGGTTTGGGGTT